TATGCTACAATGTTGTCCCATTCAATTGAAATTTGCTATGGGAAGAGTAATACTTGTATGAAGGGGCATTTACCATGAGGGCAACAGCTTCTCCCCACACAGCAAAACTGACTGGCTGGACCACCTCGGAAAAGATCCAACAGGAGAGTGTAAGGTTTGTACTTTACTTCAGGTGTGATTATAATATTCAGGGCCACCATCAGCCATAATGACAGTAATTTAATTAAGCTGTGTCATGTGTGTGTGATTGGGTAGTCATATAAATTTATTGTATAAATGTTGGTTTTTATTTATTTATGTATTTATTTAATTAAAACATTTTTATGCCGCCCCATTCGCCGAAGCCTCGGGGCGGCTTACAACAATAAATTAATATAAACATTAAAAATCCAAAAAATACAATATAAAATAAGCCGCCCTGGCCAGATAAAATCAGTTAATACTAACAGTTAAAATACCGCTTAAATAAAAAGGTTTTCGCCTGGCGCCGAAAAGCAAATAACGATGGCGCCAGGCGGACCTCTCTGGGGAGCGTGTTCCATAAGTTGGGCGCCACCGCAGAGAAAGCCCTCCTCCGAGTAGCCACCCTCCTAATTTCCTTCCCGGAGGGTTCCTGGAGAAGGGCCTCTCCCGCTGATCTCAAGGGGCGGCTGGGCATATATGGACATAAGCGCTCCTTCAGGTAACCAGGACCCAAGCCGTTTAGGGCTTTATAGGTCATTACCAACACCTTGAATTGGGCCCGGACTTCAATGGTTGGTTGGTAGATTTCTGCATAAATTTACCTATTAAAAACAATAGTTCTGCAGGAAAATAAATTACTTTTAGATAAGGCAAATATGTCATAGCAGGTGTTATCTGGAAGGATCACTCCCCCTTTCTCTCACAGAGGGAAGACATTAAGATGCTATTTACTAGCTGCAGATTTTAGAAATATTTTAAGTAGTAGGAGGGGCCAGCAGGGGCGGTATGGAGAGCAGAGACTGAAAGCACCACCTCTGATGCCTGGCACAGAGCTGAGGCCAAGAAACCGTTATTTTCTGCTTGAGCAGGCTGAAGCCATGGGTCCCTTGGAGGACTGGGCGGATCGGCCTGGAGTCAGGCACGGCCTGGGGCCCCACCACAGAGGTGACTGCTGAGACATGGTCCCCTGTCTCCACAGGGAGAAGAAGAAGGCAAGTTATTGTTGTCAGGAACTCCTTACTAAGGATTACCAAGGTGGCAGTGTACCAGCTAGATCTAGAGGTGAGAGAAGTCTGCTGTTTGCCGAGTGCATGCATCCAGAGCATAATGGACAGACTTCTTCCTTTGGAGGGTCAACAGCTGCTTCTGGTGATCCACATGGTGATGAACAACACAGCCAGGTGGGGGCTGGGTGAGTTCACTCAGGGGTTCAAGCCTATGGGCAAGAAATTCAAGGGCCTGAAAGCCCAAGTGGCCTTTCCTTCACTCTGCCCTGTCTGTGGATATGGACCAACCAGGGAAAGGAGGTTGCAGAGACAAATGACTGGCTGAGAGCATGGTGGTAGAGGGAACGCTTCAGGTTCCTTGACCATGGCAACTGGTTCCTCACCGAAGGACTTCCGGTCAGGGATGGGGAAAAAGACCAGGAATGCTCTAGCAGGCTATGGCCAGAGGGCTTTAAACTAATGCAGGAGGGGAGGGACTGGAACCCCCAGAAACCAGTCAGGACCAGTCAGGTGAATGAACAGGCTCCTCAGAGGAAGGGTGATGTAGTGTCTGCAGGGGGTGATATGACAACTGCACTGAGGGTTCCAGCTATGCCAGGGAGGACAGGAGGAAGAAGGAGGCTGGGGGAGCTGTGGTTGGGGTTCACAGGAAAGAGCTGAGATCTTTGTGCACCAATGCTAGGAGCATGGGAAGGAAACAGTAAGAGCTTGAGGCTCTCCTGGGAATAGGTGGGGATGACCTGGTTGGGATCACGGAAACATAATGGGGAAAAAAGCAGGATTGGAATGTCAACATAAGGGGATATGCTCTGTTTAGGAAGGGCAGGAAGAGAAAGAGGGGAGAGGGGTAGCGCTGTATGTTAAAGAAGGAATAGGGTGCAATGAAATAGGGGTGGGGTAGAAGGGAGGCAATCTGGGTAAGACTGATGGCTTTAGAGGGGGCAGGGACCTAGTGGGGGGTATGTTATTGCCCACTGGGTCAACTTGAGACCCTGGATGATGCTCAGACTGGAGCAGGGAGGGACACAGTGGGAGATTTCAACCTCCCTGATATTAGTTGGGAGATGCACTCGGTGGCAACGGTTAGGAGGGTTTTTCACCCAGAGGGTCCAGGAAGCAACAAGGGCAGGTAACATCCTAGACATGGTTTTGACCAATGGACAGGAACTCTTGGATGATGTACAGACTAGGGGAGCTCTGGATGGGAGTGACCACTCCATCCTATACTTCGAGATCAGGAGGTCAGGGATGAGCAGTAGACCAAGTACTAGGAGATGGGACTTCATGAGGGCCAACTTTGGTCAATTGAAGGCCAGGCTGGGAAAGTAACCTGGGAGAAGGTACTGGAAGACAAGGGAGTCCAGGATGGGTGGATAGCACTAAAAAGGGGTGTCTTGGGGGCGTAAACATTAATGATCAGCAAAGAAGGGAGGCACAGGAGGGTGCCACTGTGGATGCAAAGAGGGGTGGTAAGACTGAAGTAAAAAGGGACTTGTACAGGAATTGGACATTGGGGCAAGTGAACAAAAGGGCATACCAGGAGGAAGAGGAAGCTTGATGCAGAAGGACACCTCAAGGCTAAAGCTGATTATGAGCTGAGATGTGCAAAGAATTTCTAGTAAGAGGAAGGGGAGACAGGTGGTGGGCCCCTTTTATAAGAGAGGGAGGGGATCTGTAACTGATGTCAGCGAACAGGCACATATGTTAAATGAATATTTTGCTAATGTATTCTCCCCAAAGCAGGTTGGGGGTGATGTGCCTGGGGTGCCGCATGAGATGGGGGTTATTGGGCCACAGATTAGAGTCACTCCCCTAGAAGCTGAAGAGCTCCTTAAGGCCCTGGATGTTATGAAAGTTCTGGGTCCTGATGGGTTACACCCAAGAGTACTTTGGGAATTGGTAGGGGTATTCTCACATGCATTGGCCTCATGGAGAAGTTCTGGAGAATTGGAGGGTGGTGTCAGTGGTCTCAGTCTTCAAAAAGGCTAGCAGAGGAGACGAGGAGAATTACAGGCCAGTTAGCCTTATGTCCATTCCAGGAAAGACAGTGGAAAAGCTCATAATAGGGAAAGCTCTAGAACAGCGGTCCTCAAACTTTTTCAATAGGGGGCCAGTTGAAAGGCTGTGGTGACCATTGGGGGCCGCTGAGGTGGGGGTGCCTGGGGGCACAGGCCGGTGAGGTGCCGTCAGGCATGCGTGGCCGTGGCTCACTTGCTCGGAGAACTCCCAGCGAGTCCAAAACCATCTCCGAGCGAGCAAACCACCACCTCCCCACCCGCGCTGCAAGTGCGCGCAGGGACCAGCAAACAGCGGCGCAGGCCGGATGGATGTCCATGATGGGCCGGATCCGTCCCATGGGCCATAGTTTGAGGACCCATGGTCTAGAAACCCTGCATAAGGAAGGGGGGTTCTCAGCCACACGGCCCGCCTTCCACAAAAATAGGCCCTGCCAGACGAACCTTGTGGAGTTCTATGACAAGGTTTGGGGGTGGCTAGATGCAGGGGATACAATGGATGTGGTTTACCTGGATTTCAGCAGGGCCTTAGACAAGGCGCTGCATGGTATCCTGGTTGAGAAATTGATGAGCTTCAGGATAGATCAATGCAATGTCCAATGGATTAGGACATGGTTGGCGGACTGCAAGCAGAGGGTAACTATCAGTGGAGAGTTATCGGGATGGCAAATAGTGATGAACAGAGTCCCCCAGGGCTTAGTTCTGGGACCAATTCTATTCAACCTTTTTCATAATGACCTGTAGGAGGGGGTACCCAGTCTGCTGACCAAATTTGCAGATAAAACCAAAGTGAGGTCATGGCCACAACAGAGAAGCAGTCATTTCAGATCCAAAAGGTTCTGGACAGACTGTGGAAGTGGGCAGGGGACAACAGAATGGTGTTTAATACAGATAAGTGCAAAGTCTTGCACTTGGGAATCAGTAATAAGTGCCATAGATACAGGATGGGGGACAAGTGGCTGGAGAAAGTGATCTTGTCAACAACAGGCTAAACATGAGGTGGTAGCTAAGAGGGTGAACAGCCACCCTTGGATGTATAGCCAGAGGTGTAGCTTCTAGATTGAGAGAGGTGCTGGTACCACTCTATAAGACTCTGGTGCACCCACAACTGGGCTTCACGTTACAAGACAGACATAACAGGTTTGGAACCAGTTCAGCACAGTGTCACAAGGATGGTAGCTGGATTGCGGTGGATGCCATAAGTGATGAGATTGAGGGAACTAGGACTTCTTAGCTTGGAGGAGAAGAGATCTTATAGTGATAGTCAGGTATGTGAAGGGGTGTCATATAGTGGAGGGTTGTGACCTGTTCTTCCCTGCAGTGGAGGAAAGGACATGATCCAATGGGGCAAAGCTAAAGGTTTTCAGTTGGATGTCAGGAAGTACTTCCTAATGGTTAGGACCCCTACAATATTGAATGGGCTTCCACAGAAGGTGGTTGAGGCCCCATCAGTGAGAGTGTTCAAGGAAAGATTGGACACCCACGTGTTGGACATTATATGAGTGGAGCTGGCTTGTGCCAGGGGTCAGACTAGATGGACCAGGAGATCCCTTCTGACTTGGTATGTTTCTGTGTTTCTAGTAGTTTAAAGCAAACCTTGCTTAGGATGTAAACATTTCAGCTCTGGTATAATGCATGTTCCTGCCAACCTTGCAGTTTGAAAGCATACAAATGCAAGTAGATAAATAGGTGCCACTTCGGTGGGAAGGTAACAGCGTTCCGTGCACCTTGGTGTTTAGTCATGCCGGCCACATGACCACGGAGACTGACTGTGGACAAACGCTGGCTCCCTTGGCTAGGAAACGGAGATGAGCACCGCCCCCTAGAGAGACATGACTGGACTTTAATGTCATGGGGAAACCTTTACCTTTTTATAATGTGTGTAGTGTGTATGTGCATGCAGCAAACAATTCTGTCACATTCTAGCATAACTTTTTTTTCTTTCACAAATACCTAGCGTTCAGAGGAGGGTGAGCTAGATCAGTAGAGTCTTTTTTATTTGATTATCCACATGAGCCAATGACCTCTTTAGGCAACTGGTTCCACTGTGGCATTGCTCTGACCATTAGGAAGTTTTTTCTGGTGGTTAGCCTGAATCTGGTGTGCTGCAATTTAAATTTGTTGTTCTGCATCCTGTACTCAGGGATGAGTGAGAAGAGATCTTTTCCTTCCTCTTTGTGACAGTCTTTATGATACAAGACTGAAATACCAAGGACAACTGTGAGGCCCCAGTCAGGATTTGAACCATAGGAAGGATAGTTAACCCTTTGCCTTTGCACCAGTGTCGTAATGCAAATTATCAGGAAGGGGGAAAAAAGCTGCTGTTGGCATCTGTTTTTAAACATGATTATGTGATAGTACGCTCATGTCTCTATAGATTAATTTACTACTTTATTCAATAGTTCTAATTATATGTAATGTTTATTGCTTTTGTCTTTATGTCGTTGGCAGGGCTCATGTTCCATTACCCTGTGTTTGTGGTTCTGATTTAATTCATCATAACAGTTTTAGAATCTAATTTGTGAGGAGAATTTGAGCACTTGTGAAAAATTAAATAAAGAATAAGTTCTTACCTTTCCACTGTAGTTTCCCTTTTTACTTAATTCTTTCATGCCTTGCCATTTACAACCCCTCTGGATTGAGAAGGCAGAGTATGATATTCATGTCACATGTTGCGCTTGTGTCTATGGCTGGGTGACATGTGTGCAGATATAAGGCTAGTGCCACTCACCTAATGCCATTTCACACCATCACTGGCACACATTTTTATTTATTCTTATCTATATCACTCCACAGCCAAAGCTCTCTGGGCAGTTTAAATAGTCCATAATACAGCTAAAAAATACAATAAAATAGATAAATACAGAAATATTTAAAGTTTTAAACAGCTAAACCAAATATTCCCAGCCAGTAAGAATTTTTTGGAGGGAGAGGGACGAATAGCTTCTCAAGCCAAAAAGAGCACGGCAACACAGCAATGTGCACCACTCTTTCCACCTGCCTTTCTCACCTTTCCCCCCTAAAAGTTTGAGTAAAGGCATTGGGAAGTAAGAAGACCAAAGTCTGTGAGGCAACATTACTGTGAACTTTCCTGTTTCCAAGTGCAGTTATTGGGGTGAAGGGGGGGGGGTAAGTTGTGCTAGGAAAAGGAACAACCATTTTTGGTGCTTGTATTTCTTGCTGACAACATATGCTGAGGGTAAGGGTGTTTACGAGTAGAGGTGGTTGCCCTAAACAGAATCAGATATTGGTTCATGTAGTCCAGTATTCAAGCTTTCCAGGAGTTCAAGGGGGGTTTTTCAGTCCTACCTGGAGATATCAGAAATTGAACTTGGGGGCCTTCTACATGCCACATATATCCTCTGCCACTGGGCCACAGTTCTTTCTCTTCTAGGCAGAGGGTTCATAGCTGTACCAATTAGAAGGCAAAGTAGCTGTTTAGTCTTTTCTCCTTAACTAATTTTTCTGGTTTGAAAAAATGGAAAAGGCAGTAGGAAAGCACAAGGTTGCTTCAGAGTTACAAAGCTGTTCATGCCTCACTGCTATACCCCCACACCCAATAATTTATGTATCAACAAAAATACATATACATAGTTTGGGAATAATTTACCCCTCTGCATTTTCAAGACAGCTTGAAAAGCCTGCTGGATATTGCCCAACATAAGTTTCATTTGAAAATATCCTAGATTGACCCTAAATGCAGGATCACAGCTTCAGTCAAGCAGTGAAGACAAATGTTGCTATTCAGGTTGTGTGGAATAAAGTGTTCATGTTTGCGAGATGACTGGCTTTTAAGTTTCCAAGTTCTTACTTAGTCACCATGTGACTGGACTATTGTTGCTTATAACTTGGTGTCCCAAGATTATTACTTGGTGTCTGTCATCTGCTCAGAGCTGCTTTTTCCATAAAAAGGAGGAATTTGACTACTGCTGAGAAGTGCTATTTTAAAGGACTAAGTTCTGGAGACTACTAATAGCCAGCCAACCAAAGGGTGTAGGCTCCTGTTTTAATATCTATATAACTGCCTGATTGATAACATCAAGGTGAGTGGGTAGAGTGACTCTACCTAGATCTGCATGACTGAACTAAAAGATATGCTTAATCAACTTTATATCTATGCCATGTACGTATACATATATATGTTTGAAATTGTTTGAATAAGCTGTTGCTGGGGGGAGTTATACCTAGAGAATTCTGCTCTTGGCTCTTGTCCTAATAATGTGCAGATACTTTCGTGCTCTCTTATTCTAAATCTATTCTGACTCTTCTACTGGAAAAAGACCAAGGATTATGCCAATTGACAGCAGCCACTGTGTTTTGGAATATATTTGCCATGAGCATCCCAGATAATTGTGGATCTTTATGTAAGTCATCAAATGGGTTTGTACTGCCCCATTTATGAAATGCCCTCTTTCAGGAAGACAGAAGTGAAAGTCAGAGTGAACTTGATAGGCTGGAGTGCTGGGCTGAAAACTACAGAATGGAATTCAATAGGGACACATGCCAAGTTCTACACTCAAGAAAAGAGAACCAAATGTACAGTTACAAGATAGGAAATACTAGGTTCAAGAATATTATGAAGTGAGAAGGGCATTGGAATTGTTGTAGATCACATTGAAAGAGTTAGCCATGTGATACGGCTACAAAAAAGGCAAATGCTATATGGGGCTGCATTAATAGAAATATTGCTTCCAAATCATGTGAGGAACTGGTTCCCCTAGTTCTGGGCACCACAATTTAAGAAAGACGCAAACTGAAAAAGATTCAGAGGAAGAAAGCAAATACGATCAGGAGACTGGAAACAAAGCCCTATGAGGGGAGATGGAAAGAATTGGGGATGTTTATCCTTGCGAAAAGACAGCTGAGGGCAGATATGGTAGCACTTTTGAAATACTTGAAAGACTGACATACAGAGAAGGGCCACAATCTCTTTTCAGTTATTCCAGCATACAGGACACAGACCAATGGCCTTAAGTTACAAGAAGCCAGATTCTGGGTGAACACCAGGAAAAAGTTCCGGGCTGTTGGAGCAGTATGACAAGGGAACCAATTACCTAGCATGGTCATAGGCTGTCCCTCACTTGAGGCATTCAAGAGGCGTTGCACAGCTGTCTTCAAAGATACTTTAATTGGAGTCCTACACTGAGCAGGTGGTTGGACTCAGTGGCCTTATAGGCTCTTCCAACTCTAGTATTCTGTGATTCTATAAGTTATTGTTGGGATCTCATCAATGTCTTTTGTTTGGTCTCTTATATGTGTAAATGTTGGTATTTGAGAGTGTCCGCACAAGGTTTTGCAGTGAGACTTAGTTAAAAGCAAAAACTCATGGAGTATGAAAATTGTTATTTTATAATGAGGGAAAGTCAGAAACTCTTTCAATATTTCATGTGCTCTGGTATTAAGGAACTAAATCCTGTCATTCCGTACATTTAGATCATCAGATTTACTTTCAAGTAAATATCATTAGATTGAAATCTTACAATTTCAGTGTTTAGTAGGAGCTGAGCTGACTTACTGTGGTCCGTGTAGTTAGAATTAAACAAGCTCTCAGTTTTAAACCCTTGAGAACAGCAAAGAAATATGGAAGCTTTAACCTGCAGGACTGGTGGTTTCTAGGGAAACAGTTGAATTTTAGATACTGTTAAAACTGAAACTGTTTCAGCAGCTGCTGAAAGGATACATGGATTTGAGAATTGGGTTCCTGATCACAGTTTCTTAGGCACTGTGTGGATGCATATCACCAATGGAAGGAGAGGAAAGCATGTTCAGAAGCACGCTTATGTATGATTTCTAAGTTGAACCCTGGCATTGAAAATAGGTTATGGGGCTGTCCTATCATGTACATAGCATGTTAGACTATACTAGGACAGGCAAACTATTGGGAGTGACCTACCACTGCTTTACTTAGCTTAGTATTGTCTAGTCTGATCTGACTAGTAATGGAATTCCAAGTTTTTGCTCAGGGCCTTTCTTAACCCTTCTACCTAAAATAAACTGCTAGAGACTCTGATTCTGCTAGAGAATCCAGGGCCTTCTGTATGCAAATATGTGTTCTGCTTCCTCTGGGTTATAGTACATCCTCTTCCTAGTACTCTGAAAATTCATGCATATCTAAGAAGTTGCAACATTCTTCCATTATGTTCATTTTTGGACTAAATGGACTGTGATACTCAGTAAGATTTGGGCTTGGGACTTTGGCCTTGCCAATCAAAGGTTTAGCCACTGCTCTGTATCACCTCTCTGTTTTCTGTGGAACCGAGGGCATTTTTCTGTACTTCTGGACAGGAGATCTGAGTTTATAGAAGTGCTACTTGTGGTTGCTGTGCTCAGCTTTTAAGATTGCAGCATACAGAGTTCAGGAAGTCTTGTGATAAGCCTTGCACAGAGTCCTGGGGCTTACTCTCTTTCCGCACCGTCCTTTCTTCCCAAGTAGTTAAGCAGCAATGCCAGATGCCTTTTCATTTATTTGCTGCTTGTACGTTGTAGTCCTGGCCATCCACCTGCCCCCAGTACAGCAGATTCGTGGAGAACCAGAGGCTGGTGTTTCCAGTCTGTGGTTTAACTAGAGGTGAAGAGCAGTTGTTCTCAGTGAAAGGCAGTTGTTCCAAGTGCAGTGATGAAGCACCAGAGCCCTAGTGACAAAGCGTCCGCCCAGAAGCGACTTGAGCAACAGGGCAAGGAGAAGGTAAGTGCAGTTTGATCCCTTTTTATATCTTTATTAATTACTCTCTATAATCATGTCAGATTGATAGATGATAAAGGGAAGCCAGGACAAGGGCACAGCAAGAAGGCAAAATTCCCAGAGGAGTAACCTGTGCAGTCTTGGAAACTAAATTTCAGAGGGAAAAGCTAGCAGGAACCTCCAGCCCCTGCAGCCCACATTTAAACTAAACCTTTAGTCAACTAAACAGGCTTAGAAGTGGGGAAGGAAAGCAGTACATATCTCTGTACTTTCTAGAACCACTATACAGGCCGAGCTAGTGGGAGAGACTGCTTATAAAAATCGGGGAAGGCTAATTGCAGCTTGGGCCCTGTGTAGGCTCAGATTTCTCGTGAATAGGGCTCACAAACCAAAGTTCAGAAACAGGAATCCCAGGTTTGAGAGGTCAGATGCCACTCAGATTATCTCACACACCGAGCAAGTCGGATTTCTTACAACAGCCCTTCACTAATCGCTTACCTTTGTCTCTTGATTGTGACTCATTCACTGTTTTTTTTAATAAAGATTTTTATTAAAATTTTAAACTAAAAACTAAAAACATCAGTCATCAAATACATCGGACATGCTGGGTCAGCCCCTTACAACATATCTTTTTAACATTCTATAATCATATTCAAATCAATTTATAAAAATTTAAAAACATCTTTAAATCTAAACTAAGTCCCGTATCTCCAGCCAGTCATAAAAAAAGTCCCAAGTTTGATAGAAGTCAGTATCTTCTTTCTCCTTCAGTGATAGAGTCAATCTGTCCATTTCTGCATAGTCCAGAATCTTTTTTAAAATCATTTCCTCAGTGGGTAATTCCTCACTCTTCCAGCACTGAGCAAGCACAATCCTCACCGCTGTGATTAAATGTAGACTCGTTCAGGTGAAAAGGTCTTTTCCAGTCCCAGAGGGGACAACTAACAGTTAGCATTCATTCATTCATTCCCAATCACTGGAAGCCAGGGCAGACCAGGACTTCAGGCCCAGCCTCCCTTGCTTTTCAGACAAGGCCCCTCCTATCAGATTGGTGGCTGCAGCAGTTGGGCCAGCCCACCTGGAGCTACATAAGGGAGCAAGCTAGTAAGAGAATTGGCTCTCTTAGCAAGCAAGTGAGAGGTGCCCCAGTAACGGAAAAAAGCAGCTGAGCCCCAGTGAAAAAGCATCACTGCAAGTTGAGCAACAGGGCAAGGAGGTCAGGGCATGGGAGTCTGTTCCCCTTCTCAAGCCAGGAGGGTAAAGTGTAAGTAACCATTAAAAATAAAAAAGAAAGAAACTAGAATGAATAAATAAACTTAATAAAATCCAAAATCCCCTAGGTTTTTATGTAAATAAACCCACTTATACTGATTAAAGCAATTATGACTGTAGAAAGCCAGCAGGGGTGTGGGGGTTATCCAGTGATCTTTGATTGATCTTTGTGGGTCTTCTGGTTGTCTGATTCTCTATCAGAGCTTTGACTAGATGACCTGTTGCTTAATTCCAAGTCTGTGATTCTGGTTTTGGAATGGGAAACGTTTTTCATCCTAAGAGCCTCTTTCCCAGTGTACACCCATATATACAAATCTCTACCTATTGGAGCTAATGGGCAGCTTGTTTCAAGCATAACTGTTGTGGGTGGAGCTGAGGAAGGAGGTTTATGGGCTAGGAAGCCCCACAGGCCAGCAGTTCACCATCTCTGTTCCCTCTGTGTCTCTTGTCCTAATTAATACAGAGTTGAAGATTATGATTTTGCTTATATGGTACTCAGCTACCCTCTTTTTTGTTTGTTTTTCCTTAGGTTATCATGTAATTCCAGAACTGGGCAGAAGGAGAAACAGACATGCATTCCAGCCATACAGCTGAGAATGGATGCAAGTCACAAGAAGTTACCCAGGTAAATAATGGTTTCTGAATTGCTCGGTGGAGGTGAGGCTGCACTGTCTGTAGGGCTATCTGGTGGCAGTTTCCAGGGCTTTAAAAGAGGATGCTGTGTGTAGTCTGCAAGCAGTTGTCATATATATATATATATGAATAGTTTTCACATGAGTTTTTTCAGTTCTATTGGAGTTCAATGGCAGAAAGATTCTGGCACTCAAAGTGAGTACCTCTCTCAGTCAAAAGACTGTACATGGCCTTTCTCAGAAAATACTGATCAGTATTGATAGTTGCCAGCTTTTTTCTTTCCCTTCCCCCTGTTTTTTTCTTACATAAGTGTAAACTTCATTATTCTGCTGAATCATGGGTGGGCAGTTTTGGGAGGTCCAGGGTGTAGTTCCATCCCCTTGATCCCCCTGCAAGCCACAGTCCTGTTGGTGGCCTGCCAGCTGGGTTAGGACAAACCCTTTCAGGATCTGGTCCTCAAGTGTTGACAGACTTCCTCTCAAGCTTGGCCCAGCCCTCCAAAGCAAGCCGGACCAAGAGGAAATCCACAAACTTCTGCAGATCCCCTGTTGCACAAGTGGTAACATTCCTGTCAGGAGTGGCTACAGGATGCAGAAGAGGGGCGCTGTGAGCAGGGTCACCAGGCACCATTTTCCCAGCCCAACCTTCATCCCCACCCACTGCTGGTGGCACTGGTGGCACACATGCAGAAAGGTCTGCTGCAAGTGGCGGCACCAGCTGCCATTCCTGGTGTCCAACCTTCTTTCCCTCATACTGCTTCTGGTGGCAGCAGACAGGGAAAGGGGGGTGCTGCTTGCACAGCACATGGGGCTGAATTCCTGGCAAGTGCCCCACAAGGACTGGGTGTGCTCGTTTGGAACCTGGGCTGCCAAAAAGCAGGTCAGAGTTCAGGGAGCCGAGCCCAGGAAATCTGATGAATTCCCAACCCTACTGGTGGTGGCAGCAAAAAAAAAAAAAAGTTTTCCCCTGAAATTCTGCAGGCAGCTGCTATAAAGCCATTTAAAGGACAGATGGACTGATTTTATTTGATGCTCTGTCATCAAATTTTGAGTCAGCAGAGATATATTTTGGAGAGGCAGTTTTGGGGGCACTGGAGGCCAGGGGGTGAATGTCAGGGGGCCTATGTGTTGCCCATTACTGTTTTAAACCCATGTTTATCCTATACAATCTTGAGTTAAAGCTGAATCTATTGTTTCTGATTCTCTGTAATCTAAAATCACAAACTGACTGAAGGAAAATCTACCAATAAAAGGTAGATGCATTTTGGCATAAAACAGAAGAAGCAGAATGTATTTGCCAATAAACTTAAATGAAATAGTGAGATGGTCACCTGTACAGGCTGTGGTGATTGTCTAGATAACTTTATACCATAGAACAGCAACTGAATTCTAGAGATGATGTATTTCTCTTGAACTGAAAGCAAAACAAATCTTTACACACAGGCCTCTAAATCTTAGTTATAAATCTAATAATAATAATAATATCTAGAGTTGTCTTATAATAAATAATAGTCAGGGTCCTCTGTCATTCTCTGATCACATATATAAATGGTCCAGTGCCATTGCTCAAGTAAAGGGTTTGAAAATTTTCCATCAAGAAAGACAGATGGGCAAAATTTGAAAGGGTAGGTGCTGTAAATATTGCTGTTGGGCATAATTAACCTTTAGATGAGAATACCACAAGCAAAACCAAGAGGTAGAGATAAATTCGTTGAGGAGTTTTGGCTGTCATGTCAAGTTAAACAACAGGTTAAGCAGCTAATTCATGATATGATGAAAGACTGCTAGATGGATTGCCCAAGAATACATACTGTTGGTGTTTAGGCAACCTAACTTTTTCTTGAGTTGCTTTGCCCAGAACATAACACAGTGTGCACCAGCTAAGAACCTGCTGACACTGTCTACACCATTACTGGCAATAATCTTGGAATGGGATGGTTTCTCTAACCTTGCCCAACTAGTGAGAGCTTGTGTTTTGTGTTGCTGTAGTTGATCAAGAAGCAGCTGGTGAACTCCATCAAGGCCTTGCAGAAACATTATGTGACCTCTGATGCACTTGTAACCAGTGATGATGGGGATGCCAACACCCTCTGCTGTGCACTAGAGGCAGTGTTTGTGCATGGTTTGAAGGCCAAGCACATCAAATCAGAAGTTGGAGCAAAAGGCAGAAAACTTGGAGGCCGTATGCCACTTCCTCAGCCAGTGTTCTGGGCCCTGCTAAAATCTATCACACACAGGTGAGATAGGGGAGCCTGCTATTTTGAGGGATGAATTACATCTGTCACCAAAGTTTACTGCTTGTTTGTTCTTTAATATCACTTTGGGGCTGGGTGAATGGATGAGTGAGCAATTCTGAAGAATAAGCACAATTATGTAAGGGGATTTTGTTGACGGCAAAAGAAGAAGGGGAAGGCAGAGGATGAGGTGGCTAGATGGAGTCACTGAAGCAGTTGGTGTGAGCTTAGGTGGACTCTGGAGGATGGTGGAGGACAGGAAGGCCTGGAGGAATGTTGTCCATGGGGTCGTGGTGGGTTGGACGCAACTTCGCGCACAACATAACATAAGGGGATATGGCTGATGAAGATACTTCTCTTTTCTTGAAAGTCTTGCAAGTGCTGTGGTAGATACAGACAATAACCATGTGATGTGGTTGTCCATTCTCACTCACCTTACAACCCCCTGGAGTTTTCTTCTCTTAATTCCCTTCTCCTTTAGTCCCCCTGAGAGTGCATTACTCCTCTTTAGCCCTCTGCTGAGCCACATCTACAAGCAACTCAAAATACGTCTTGCTTTTAACTACTCTTTGGAGCTGTGGTTTTAACAGGACTTGTGTGCTCTTCCTCTGTTTTGCTTCTCTCCCTCCAGAAACATCATTTCTGAGCTGGAGCGCTTGGACTTCATTAACACGGATGTGGGCCGCTGCCGTGCATGGCTGAGGCTGGCACTGAATGATGGTCTGATGGAGTGCTACCTGAAACTCTTGCTCCATGAAAAGGTCCACCTCTCTGAGTATTACCATTCTCCAGCTCTGCTTCTGGACACCGAAGAGGTTGAGTTTCTCCTGAGTTACTTGCAGGGTTTGTCCTCCCTGGCCTTTGCCCTCTCCTACAAGTCAGCCGTTTTGAATGAATGGACCATCACGCCTTTATCCTTATCAGGCCTTTGCCCAGTCTCACAGCTGCTGGAGCCCCAGAGGAAGGAATCACTGGGCTCCCTCTCACAGTCTTCAGGATCTGATGAAGTTGACACTCACCCAGCCATCTTGCCTGGCACAAGAAGTCAGCAGGCAAATAAACTTACAGCCTCCAACCTGAGCATCAGCACAGCAAGTTCCTCACAGCTCTCTTCAAGCCTCGACTCTGACAGCCTTTTGCCTGGGATTTCTGTCTGCACCCAGAGTCCTGACAAAGATAAGGAGTCCCTCTTGGATGACTCTAAACTTGACACAGCAACAACAAAAGACTTGGACCAGTCCCTCCAAAAGTGAGTATGTGGGTGAAAGATATACCAAGGTTTTGTAATGGTTTTATTTTGGCCTGATCTTTATCTTCATGGACCTGCGAGGTTCTAGATGAATAGCAATATGCTATTAAAGTAATACTTACTTGAAGCCTAATAACCTGGCTGGTTCAATATGTCATAATCAACCTGGACATGCAAGGCTGGACATGCACATGGTGGGCATGTCGTGAGCAGAGCCAGCTGGTGCCGGAGGTCAGACTAGATGGCCCGGGAGGTCCCTTCTGACTCACTCTGTTTCTATGTAACCTGCTTCCACTTATGCTTTCCCCATCTGGCCCATAGAATGCTGATTTGCCTATCATTAGACCTTTGAATGAGATTCTTTTGCCTCTTTCGTGAGGTGCTCCCCCAGTTGAACTGCAACCATCTGCAGTGTTCATTCCAAGACAGCCAGTGCTAAGGGGGTTTGACCATAATTGGCAGGTGATGCCTGGTTTTGAGCCTGTTATGTGATATATTTATAGAGTGAGCATTCAGAGTTTACCAGTTTCACAACAACAATTTTTGCAGGCTGAGTTAACTGTTTGGGTGTGACTGATTTATCCAATAAATGCATGGCTAACGAGGAATTTGAATGTATGTCCAGGTCACAACCTATCGCCTATGCTACTACCCTGTGTGTGCCTACAAATGGCACTCCCAAAAGTAAGTTCTGTATCAAGAAAAATAAAGTCATAAAAAACAAAGCGACTCTTTATTGAAATGCCTTATTTTAGGCTGAAATTGGTGTATTAGCAAATAATAGATAAGTGTTAAACTGTGTGTGACTGGAGATCATGTGCTTACCTGTTGAATCTACATGGTATGGTGGAAGATGTAATCACCACAGATATGCTTTTCCCTCTCTCTTGATATTTGTTGTAACTTCTTATTTTTCTGTCAAGGGTGTTGGCAGAATTCAGCAGAGCACAGAGAAAGCCTGAATCTGTAGCAGTTAAGGAAGCTCACATTCTCCCTGAGTCTTCCCCACCATGGTGCCCTTCTCCTGCTGCCAGTTTCTGCACTGCACGCCTTCCTTGTACTGAAAGAGCTGACATCAAACCCCCTCCTACCACAACAAGTTTGCAGTTTCTGAATCCAGGCAAGGCACTTAAAACAGAAGAAGCAGATCTTCATACCACGATCCAGCAGTCATCCTTGCCAGCTGTAATTCACATTGCCAAAGGAGCAATGGATATGAACCAAACACATCACTTCAAGAGAAAAGCTAAAGAAGGAATCAACCAAGTTAATGGCTGTGAAGGAGGCCATCCAGAGACAGAACAACTACTCTCACCAGTGGTCTGTCTGGTAGGTTTGCCTTTATCATTATATGTACTAGAGTTTTAGCAATGTGTAGCCCTCTAGATGGTTTAGCCTGTAACTCCCATCGTGCCTTACCATTAGTCATGTTGGCTAAGACTCATGGGAATCAGTGGCCAACACTTCTGAATGGCCTAAGGTTGTCTACCTCTGATAAAATACCAAGAGCAATCTCAATTCTCTGAGTACTGGCCTTTGTGTTGCCAAGAATGTCACCACACATATGCAAGAAGTAAGTATTGGTAGGCTTGAGAAAACCCTGAATACAAAAGAAGAAAAAAATCCAATTCCCATCATTTCTAACTATTTGGCCATTCTGGCTGGAGCTGATGGGAGCTGTAATCTGAAAGATCTAGGAGGTACTAGGGTGGACGAAGCCTTCATATAGTATGTATGACATGGGACTTGCCTATCAACCTATAATTTTGCTTTAGTGTTTCTAAGTACTAAGTACATTCTTCCTAAGTACTTGAAATCCTTCATATCTTGGCCATCCTTATAACATTCTAGAGCTGTAGGAGGCCTAGTAGCCATTTTAGTTAAGGAGTTGGGATGGTGTGGAGAAATGGTGGATGGTGTAGACTCTTCCCTTAACTTCCTGATGGTAAAGTTCTCTGTCATTGGTATGACAATAATCTTGCTAAATGCCTATATACACCCAACTTCTTCTCAGTATTCTAACTGATATATGGTCACAGTGTAAACAACTGTTAGAGGAATTGAATACAAGCTTCCTAAGTGCTCTGATAATACTGTTAGGTGACCTTAATGCCAGGATGGGTTCATCATCTTCCAGAGTTGGCCTTCTGGAGGACATCTCCTTGGATTTTAACTATTGGAAATCCAAAGATAAAATGGTAGATAAAATGGGCATAAACCTATATAAAAGTATATGTATGTTTGGTTTGCAGATACTGGGCTGTAACATGCCCAATATAGGGTATCCTTTTATCCCTTTTTCAGCATTCTCAGGTACTGTCCTCAGTTACACCAGTGTTTCCAAAGGGAGAACACATTTATTCTCTGGTATAACAGTTAACACCACGGAAGATAGTGACCACCAGCCCATTACAGTGAAGCTAACAGCAGACTCAGATTTGAGGCCAGTTATGGATGCAGATAAATGGTTAGGACAGAATCTGGAATTTCATCAAGAATGAAGATTAAAATGGCAAAAGGTTAGTGTGATGGAATTAAACACTTTTAAAAATTCAATCACAAGAAATCATTACATAATATAATCTCAAATCCTCACTGTAGCATAATTCTGTCCTATAAGCTTACCAGGACTTATGTGATAATTTGAGACCTCTTCTGATGGCCAAGTTAATCCCAAATGAAAAAAAACCCCAATGACATCCTTATGGTTTGATAAAGAATGTAGATTGACAAGAAGTAAGTTGAGAAAACAGATTTCTAAAGTACATGCCTCATTAGACCATATGGAACAGTGTACGATGTTGAAACTTAGATGTGATTACAAAAAATTAATCACAGCCAAGAAATTACTGTTCCAGAATAAATTTTGGTCTGAACTTGAGCTGGCAGCAACAGGAACAAATTCAGACCTTTTTTGGTATTTAGTTTCTGGTAGGTGCAAAGAAATGAATTTCTTTTATGATAACTCCAATGTCAATTGCAAGATAGGAAAAAAAAATATCCAAACTTATTTAAAAACAATGAAGTTAGAAAAATTGGGCAGTCTTTGACTTTAAACATTAACCATCTTCCTTCAAGATTGCCAGTCTTCACCTGTGAGATAAAATTGCCTATACAAACATTGAAAAATGACAAGTACCAGGGAAGGATTTTTTGCCACCTGAATGATTTAAGTCTAATGTAGATTGTTGGGCTTCTCTTTCGGCAGGCCTCTTTACACATATAAATAAAACAGGTTGTGTCCCAAAATGCTGGAAACTCAGTACAATAGTTCCAATATTTAAGAAAGCAAACAGAAAGGACCACAAGAACTACAGAGCAATATTCCATCCAAAATATATGCCAAATATCTCTTGCAAAAAGTGAAAGATTGGGCAGATGAATGCACCTTACTAGCTGAAGAACAGGTAGGATTTAGGAAAGGTAGATCAACTATAGACAATTGCTTAATCATCTAATGACTAAATACGCACACAAAAATGGACAGCTTTTTGCAGCTTTTATTGACCTTAGTGCAGCTTTTGACTCCAAAACAAGAAACAATTATGGGAGAAAATGTTGAATTCAAACCAAACTCCTGTACTCAGTTAAAGTTTAATGTTCAGAAGCCTACTTGAGGGTCTGGACAGGTTCTAGTTATGCTCTTTCAGAGCTAATTCCAGCCTATAAAGGTATCCACCAAGAATGTATATTTGTCCCTTTTCTTTTTAATTTTATATGTATGATATGGTTGAATTTTTGTATAACCAGAACTATCGTATGCCCCAAATTTTGAACAGATCCGTAAATATTCTATGCAGATGATATGGTTTTATTGTCAATAACTCAAGTTGGTTTAAGTTTACTATAATGGTTTAGTTTTTAATATGCAGAAAATGATTTTGTTCTTAATCACACTAAATCCAAAGTCAAGCTTTTTGGTTAAAAATGCATAAATGGGTACAAATGCAAAAGTGCTGAAGCAAGTAAATTCTTACTGCTGTCTTGGCATAAGTTTCTCAACCACGAGATCTTGGCCACTACAAAAGAGAGAAAGAAGTGAATTAAAAGCAGCTGCTGGTTTACAGTCTCTAAACAGACTGCTGCATCACACTTTTTCTGGAATATTACGCCCAGTTCTAAACATATTCAAGGCAAAGGTGATTCCTCTGTTAATTTTTGGTGTGGAAATCTAGGGCTTTGCTGATTTAAGCAAAATTGAAAGAATCAAGAACCATTTTCTGTGAATGATCTTGAGCGCTTCAAAATCTACTCCATCCTATATACTTAGAGCAGAACTGGCCATAGGAATGATTTCTGGTGATTTCTTATGTCGGAATGGTAAATTATTGGTGCAGAGTCAATTAGATGTTGGAAAATAGGCTTCCAAAGATCTCTGTAGAGGAACAGAAGGCAATTTTATATGAACAGTTCTGGCTCCAAAATTAACCAAATGATCCCCAAATTTTAGATTCTTCATACAGATGCTGAATCCAAGGGAAAAGGATAATATGAGGATTTGTAAACAAAAATTTTAGATATAGGAGCTCAGTCTGATGTAACTACCATTACATCCTCTGAAACAGGTAAATAGCTAGCACAAGCAAAACAATCAACATCATTATAAAAATTATTTGACATACCCTATGGCAATGGAACAACAAAAAGATTTTACCAGACAATGTTTTGAACAAATATAATCAATGATGAAACTGGGGAGATTTAATGGTATTCCAGTTCTGCACAACAACCTTGTGAGGTAGGATAGGCTAAGAATCTGTGACCGTCCCAAAGTGTGAATTTTGTGGCCACGTGAAGACTAGACCCCAGATCTCTCAATGCCAGTCCAACACTCTGACCCAATGCTGTGATTAGGATGGATGTAGATGTGGTGGGATGGGGGCGTGTTTCCTACCTGAATGGTTTGCACTGGATGGCAGCCTGATCCCTTAGGACCCTTTGCTTCTAAGGGTCTAATAAAATCATCTCTATAATTTTCCAGGCCAATTGGAACATTAGCAAATATCTGCTAGGGAAGGCATATTGTGTTGTAAGCCTCCCCGAGGCTTCGGCAAGGGGCGGCATAGAAATGTTCTAATAATAATAATAATTTCCCTACCACACAGTTAAATTAACTAGTAAATCTGGATGTTTTTTAAGATTATTTTTTCTCAACATGTGCAGCTTGATTCATTTGGCTGAGTTACCCAGTGCTGTCCAGATGTGTTAGGTTACAGGTCCCATCATCCACAGCCAGCATGGCCATTGCTATAAAGGCACCTTTGCTGCAGGCTTATGCTTTCTACTTATGATATTCTGCAGACTAAAGATATGAGGGGAGTGCCCTACCTGACCTCAGGTTTGGCACATTCCCAGTCTTTTGGTGGCATCTGATGGGCTTCTTAATGCATCCATTAAATTGTTTACAGTTGTCATTGATGTTTTATGGAATGGTTTTATTTTAGTGGGTCCTTTTTTGCTGGTTTAAATTATATATATACTTAATTGTGTTAAGTGGTCTTAAGTCTCTTTTGAGAAAGGTATCTAAGGAATAATAACCTATTGTGGCTAATGTTAATTAAAGATAGAAGAATTAGCAGAATCCCTCCTGCACGTGAGTTAGGGCCTTGGCAGTGTGTGGCTTATGTTGACAAAGCATTCATGGTCAGGAAATGTTTCTGGTTAGACTGGAATATTTTCTCTGCTCCATTTTCCCCCAGCTGCAGAGGGTCGGCAGAGGAAGCCTTTCCCATGCCTGGCTATCAGCCAATCTGTCACACAGCAGGAAGTAACATCATGCTGTCTAGGTCACCCTGCCCAATGTTTATTTTTATTTATTTATCAAATTTGTATGCCTTCCATTACTTCCATCTCTGGACGGCTTACAACATTATTTCAGAATAAAATAAGTTAACTATTCCACACTGGCTGATCATCATATAAAAATATGAATAAATCATCTCACAGTTAAAATATATTAAAATATTGATCGAATAAAAAGGTCTTGACCTGGCGCTGAAAAACATATAATGATGGCACCAGGCGGACCTCTCTAGGGAGCACATTCCATAGTCAGGGTGCCACCGCAGAGAAGGCCCTTCTCCAGGTACTCTGTCTCCTAACTTCTTTCAAAGAAGGTTTCCAGAGGAGGGCTTCTGCTGCTGATCTCAGGGGGTGGGAGGGCATATAGGGAAAAAGGCATTCCTTTAGGTATCCTGGTCCCAAGCCCTTTACTATTTCTGGAGAAATTACTGTCCTAGATACTTGTCTATAGAAGGCCCAGGACTTTGGGTCTGAATCCTGTAAAAAGTCACTGTAGTCCTGTGTAGCTAGAACATTGTAAGAAGACCTGGGAAGCCTGAGTTCAAATCACACCTCAGCCCTCGACTCACTGGATGGCTGTAGCTAAGTAGCGCACTGCCTGCCTCAGTTCCTCATCCGTAAAATATAAGCATGTTCATGGCATGCCACCCAAAGTTACTATGAAGACAAACCAGCTATGAATACCATTCAGAGATGAATAAGGATTTCATATTTTTAGCCATCAACATCAGATCTCTGGGATAAATGGCCCGGGATTTTTCCAGACATACCAACAGTATTGTATGAATTATCTATGATAATGTAATCAAAGTGAATAAAAATGTGGTGGGGGGTAGGTGGGAAGTATCTTTTAACTTCCCCGTAAATGTTTCACTTTTCACAATAGCCTCATTCCATGTTAAATGTCAACTTAAAGCAAACATATGCCATCTTAATTTGATATGTTCCTCTTACTGGGATTTTGATTTGTCACAAATTATCCTTTCTATATTCCATGACTGACTCTACTGTTGGCAATGTGTATGCTTTCCCTTGGTCTTCACATTACATGTTTATTCCTGTATTGGATGAAGTACAGACTAGCCTACATATGCTTATTTATTTTATTTATTTATTTAAAACTTTTATATGCCATCACCACATGCCTCGTCATTTTGGGGCAGCTCACAAATGTACAATTAAAAACAATAAAACAGTGCAAATTATATAAAACCAAAAGCAAAAAAGCAACTGTTAACGATAACATGAATTAAAGTGCTGCTAAATGCTGTCGCATATTTCACTGGGATCATCAAGGAAGCCCATATCAGTGACCCTGTATCCAGGCTGGGCAAATTTTATGCTTGGGGAACCTACTTTGTTTTTTACAAGAAACCTAGTGTCCAGCAACTAGAACTTGGAGGGAGAGGGTGGCTCGGGTAGGCTGGTTTATGCTAAGAGCATGGTACACCTGAGAACTCACTCAGTTTAGGAATTAGTGACTAGCATGAGAACCTAGCTCACAATTCTTTTCACACAAATATCCTGGTTTCATGTCCTCCAGTATTGTCTTCAGCAACCTGGCGGGGTGGGGCTTTTAATTGCTGGTATTGCTAGAAGATGTGGCTAGTCATTTAATGATTACCGTGGCTACCTGCCTAGTCATTTACCCCCAAAAAAGCAGAGTACATGTGTTCAACCTGTGGCCAATCTACACATTTGACCCACAGAGTCTAAGAAGTGGAAGAAACAGCAAGGTAAAAAAAAAGCAGCAAGGCTAAAGGCTAATGGAAGAGTGAAATAGCAAGGCATAGGGGTAGAGGGAAGAGAGAACAAGGCCGAAGGGTAGGAGCAGACAGAAAGTGAGGTCGAAGAGCTGGAGGGAGAGAATGAAGAGAGCAAAGGGAAAAGGTCTTTGTGGGTAGGGACAGGCAGCAACCCTTCACTCTCCTGCTCTTCCTGCAGCAAGTACAGGGCCAGGAAGGAGAACCGAACCCTCAGCGTTTGTCAGGGTTTTTTTATTTAAAATGTTTGATGGGACAGGGACAGAGAGCTTCATGAACACCATTGGAGGTCCCTGTGGGTGCTGCACTGGGGACGCCTTTGTTAAATAAAAGGAGGAAATCAGAAACGCTTCCCAAGTTACTGCAAATTACCTGGAGGTCCATTTGCCCACCCCTCTTATACTCCTATATTATTCCCAACTGCTTGAGATTTGTAGTGTATTCATTTCTGAAGCTATTAAACAGCATGGATGTTCCCTTCCTGTCTCGTGGCAAAACACTGTTCTGTGCCCAGTGACTATCACTGTTTGCTTCTCGGATGTTCTGGGCATACATATGTGGTAGCACAATCTTACGTGTGTTTTCTTGGTAGTTAAGTTGTGCTATGTTCAGTGGGACTAGTTTCCAAGTAAGGTGCCTTCAGATAAGTGATCTTGTTTTGTATCATTTCATGTGTATGCATCTTGTATATCGGACAAATGGCACATGGGGTATATGACCAAGATTTAAAATTAGTCCATTAGGTTACATGCTTTATGTAGTTATAAATCCATATGTTCAACTGACTGTGTTTCAAACCAGGAATTTGGTTTCAATCCTTTATTCCAGTTGTTCATTTCTCTTAGTAATTTAAATTGAGGATTTAAATTAATTAATCCACCTTCTTGCTGATCATCCTGGCTGCAGTGCCTAGGCTGATCCTAAGAACAGATGAAGTAGGAGAAGGCATTTTCCCCACAGACTCACAGCTTGGAATGGGAGGAATCCTCCACAAGCCCCATCACCACAGAAGACATGAGGCAACCGGAGAGTCTTGTTGCAGGGTTCCCTCATCTGAGAACCTAAAGAACACCTTCGAACCCATCCTGAGGCCTGCCCCATCTTTTTCCCTGTTGCTTTCTGGAGCTCTAGTAGGATAGATGCTGTCATCATTAGAGTTCCTGCCTCACTGCTAGGCAACACTTTTGCCCAGAAGGTAACTAGTTGCAGCTGGACCAAAGGATTAGGAACTGCCTGTCTGTGTGTCCTTCATCTTCTCTCAAACTTTTGCTCAGTTAACAGCTCTGACTGTTCATGTTGCATGCACAGGATATGTTCCCGTTGGTCCCTCCCACCATTCAATAATCAAAGGTGTACTGGGGTAGATCCAGGAGGCTCTAGTATCTACCTTGAATTTCAAGACTGTTCTAAATCTAGTAAGGACCATCATTCTGGTTACCATGTCCCCATTTACACATTTGGTGTGCTTTCCTCTCCCCTTCGCTGGTCCATTCTTGTCCATTCAACACCCACTCTCTAGCCAGGGACTATGCCACTTTTTGTGTGATGAAGGCAATTTCATGTTTCTCTATTGAAATCCACATAGCATCGAGGTGGTAGCAGCTCAAGCAATGTCTAAGATTGGTTTTATTTTGCTTTTGTTCCCCAGCATAAAACAAGCTGGATTACTGAGGATGATATTTACCTTCCTTCTCCTCCTGAGGAGGCAGGGGAAGGCACCTCGAACTTGCAGTGTCCCTCACCAGAGGGATCTGTTGCTGGTCAGCCACAGATACCAAGCAGTGCTCTGGATGAGGGTGGGCTTCATGTGTCCCAACTGGAGACTAGCAAACCCAAACCATCTCCTGAGAAGGAATCAAAGGGCTTCAGTGTTGTCCACCGGAGGCAAATGGGTAAGCTGTTTGTTACTGCTGTTAAACTCATTTTCTGCTATGGAAATAACGGGGAGAGGCAAATCAGTATGGTGGTTAGCAGCATTTGTAGCTGCTAAAGTATCACCATTTATTCTATCATTTGCTATGTTTTTTTTTACATGACTCGCTTTTGCAGGATGCGCTCTAGCACAAATCCTTATGTGCCAATATTACTCTTCTCTCCTGAACTTAGGCCTTTCCAATCCTTTCCGTGGCCTGCTGAAGTTAGGGAACCTAGAGCGACGAGGTGGCATGGGCCTCTGGAAGGAGTTGTTCTGCGAACTTTCTCCACTGGAGTTACGTCTTTTTGTGGACAGTGAGGAACGGGTGTGTGTGGAAAACTATTCCTTGCTAAGGTGCGAGTCCCTTGGCCTGGCTCACAGTGATGGCCGCTTTGACTTGGTCTTCTCAGGCAAACGGTTGTGCCTTCGGGCTCCATCTCAGGATGAGGCTGAAGACTGGCTAGACCGGCTGAATGAGGCGCTTCAGAAGTGTCGCCCTCAGCAAGATGAAGATTGGGAAACTCTACAGTGCCCACCACCAGTGGAGGACCTTGAAGCAAACTCTGCTGCCAGACTACCCAGTGACCCATCTGTCCTCCCTCAATACAGTGGAACTGGCCAAAATGGACTAGACCAGACAGGAGCCTTTGCACCAGAGTTAGATGCAATCAAAGAGTCTGTTCTGTACCTTGAGGCTGAAAAAACGTGGGTCCCTTTTGTGTTCTCCTTATCCTTAGAAGCTTTGAAATGCTTCAAAGTGAGGAATGGTGAAAAAACACTGAGCAACAGCTACGGTATTGAAACCATCCAGGACATCCTGCCTGACGTGAGCCTTGGTGGGCCGGCCTTCTTTAAGGTCATCACCTCAAAGGCAGTGTTGAAGCTGAGAGCTGAGAACGCAGAGGAGGCAGCCGACTGGAGAGACCTGGTCCGCCGAGTGCTCATGTCCTACCTGGAAACTGCTGAGGAGGCACTGACGCTTGGGGGTAATCTGGATGGGAACTCACAGGCAGTCTTGAAGAGCACCGTCAAGGAGAATGGACTCCTTCTCCAGTACTTGGTTGCCATCCCCACGGAGAAGGGACTGGACTGCCAGAGCTTCATATGTGCAGGTAGTGGGGTGGCAACTTGGTTGCAAAGAAATAACTAAGACTTAGACCATGGGTCCTCAAACTAAGGCCCGCGGGCCGGATCCAGCCTGCCATGCCCATTTAACCAGCCCACCCCAGAGGTTTTGCACTCGCCGTGCGCACAGGCGTGCGGCTTGCTCGTGAGGAGGTCTTTTTGGACTAGCTCAGAGAAAACGATTTCCTCGCGAGCAAGCCAGTACCTCGCCATGCGTACCCCCCCTGCCCCCACCTTACCCATGCTCCCCCTGCCCCCCCCCCCCCCCCCCCCCCCCCCCCCCCCCCCCGCCGGTACCACCTTGGCAGCCCACGCCCACCTGCTGGCACCTGTCAACTGGCCCCCTGTTGAAAAAGTTTGAGGACCCCTGACTTAGACTTGGCTTACTTGAAACACTATGTCCCTTCCACTTGGAAAGCAACGCTCAGGTTGGCTTCTATCACATCAAAACAAAGATAAGAATAATTACAAAAGATTAAACAAGAAAAAGTGAGGTCAATTACATGAGATAAATCTAATTGTAAAGCGACTTCATGTGTTAGTTTTGTTCTAGGCATGCCTAGTTGTGTTAAACAAGGTGATATTAGGGGGCAGAGGGTTTGGCAGGGAAACCGTGTTGTGACAGTACCATTTCTAATATCAGGTTGGATCCAGGTTTTGTTGTACTTACAGTAAACTCATTTAAGTCAATGAGGCTTACGTTAGTGATGGTGAATACTGCTTTTAGTGAGCTTTCTGTGAATGCATGAATGTAAAGATCCAACTTACAGAAACTGCAAGAGCCTCTTGAGTTTCAGCGTTCATTTCTGTTCCTCTTGATTATGTATGTGCAGATTTATTTTATAGAGTTGCTGCCAGAGTCATGTACAAAAGGACATCATCATATCAAAATATCTGCACATTTCATCTGATGAATCATAGAATCATAGACAAGTAGACTTGGAAGGGTCCAAGAAGACCATTGGGTCCACAACTCCCTGCTGTTGCAGGACACCAATTTACACCATCCCACTTAGGTGACTGTCCAGTTTCTTTTTGAATGTCTCTAGTGTGGGAGAGCCCACAATCTCTCTAGGCAACTGGTTCCACTGCCGTATTGCTCTGACAGTGAGAAAACTTTTCCTGAGATAGTCTCTATCCCGAATCTGGGTTGCTGCAACTTGAGCTCATTGTTGTCCTTATCCTTCCTCTTTGTGACAGTCTTTCAGGTATTTATAAAGTGATATCACGTCCCCCGTTCAGTCTTCTCTTCTCAAGGCTGAACATACCCAGTCCTACGAAGTCTTTAAAGAATGCATATGGAGGCTTTCACTGGGGTCTGTAATTAGCACCAACTTTCCTTTGTGTCAGGTCTTGCCCAATGAAAAGACTATTCACTGCAGTCCAAAGGTTATGTTCCTCTTGCAGAAACCAAGCCTGTAGGAAGGTAGTGTGTGGGGGAACTGATGGCTGGCAGGTGGGTCTGACAAAAGGAGAACATCTAAGTAGCAGGCTGATGGCCATCACTGCCTTGTTCTTCCTCTCTGCTGCTGTCTCTAAATGATTCACTACTTCACCCAGTTGCTAATCAGGTCCATTCTTTATTTTATTTTTTTTACATGCTTTATGGCTTGTAGTCTTCCCTTGCTCCTACACAGGCATTGCTCCCTATCTCTTATTCTCTGCTTTATTTTATTTGAATGCAGCAGATATTTAGTTCCTGCAAATGGAATAAATTTGAAAAGATAAATATTCTGGATGGGTATCTATCACAGGATCTTTCTGTAGAGAGCTTAAGACCTGAGATGAAATGATGACTATGAGCCCCTCGATCCAGCTCTGTAATGCTATACAAAGTTGAAGAACATTCCTGTGAACAAAAGATTCAGAAACACAAACATGGCATTGCCCCTTGACCGAGGCAGCAGAAGACATTTTAGTGTTTGTGACAGAAAATGCAAGTGGTGCACTGGTAGCAGTCAAAAGTATCATAGAACCGAATAATTGATAATTTGCTGTCCTTTAATGGTAGGTCTGACCTTGCTCCTTGCTTTCTGGAAGGGATCTATCCTGCTTTCCATCCATAGGCGTGCTGGTGACAGTTCTAGCTAAAAGTCAGAGGAACTTCATATCTGCGTGTTCAGAGGACATTCCTGGTCTCAGGTTCTCAGCACAGCTAGAGATGTTAGAGTAACATAGCAAAGAAGAGGGGGTTGGCCTGGAGCCTTAACCAGGTGAAGCCAATGCAAACGACTTTCCAATAGCCGAGGGACAGTTTGTGGTATTCTTTGAAATCCTTACCGCTTTCACTTTCCTTCCTAGGCTGCTCGAGACAGATCGGTTTTTCCTTTGTGAAGCCCAAGCTGTGTTCCTTCACAGGCCTCTATTATTGTGATAGCTGCCACTGGGATGAAGAGACAGTGATTCCATCACGCCTGATTCATAACTGGGATCTCACCAAGCGGCCGGTAGGTGTGAGGAGCTTGCGGGGCAAAGCTCGTGCAGTGCATAGGCTGGAAGAGTGAGGTGGGGCCATCCAGTGCTGTGAGCGCTCATTCATTTCAGATGTGTCTGCTAGAACCTAGCAGGAAGGCCAGCTGCATTGCTGCAGTCACAACTGCATCCAGTCTTTTTCTTAAAACCAAAAGTCTAGCTTTCAATTTAACAGAAAAAAGCCTGAGAATATATGCGTTGTTAATGTAAACTTCCCGGAGGCCTGGATGCAACTCTCAAGTTAGCTTTTCTTTCAGTCCCTCCTCCAGTCCCCTCTCTCACAAACCTACCTCTTTCCCCCAGTTGCCCTTTGTACCAGGCCAAATGTGGAAGTAGAAAAGCCGTTCAAACTTCTAAGAAAACCTAAATAAGCTAAATGTATTTGTTAAAATGTATTTAGTCAAAGAAGCAACAGAGTCACTGCTTGGCTTAGAAGAATCTTGATCAGGGCTGTGTTGACTAAGGATGTCCATGCATAGAGGAAAACAATGAAAACTGATGACAGATGAGCTTGCTTGTAAGGGGGCAACTGAGAATTGCAGGAGCTGGTCTTATATTCGTAGGTTTTCATAGAATCATGGAAGGGGCCAAGAGGGCCATCAGGTCCAGCCCCCCAGGTCAGTGCAGGACTCCAAGTTGAACAATCCCTTTGGGGATGGTAGCCCGAAAAGCTAACACCTAGGTGACCACATAATGGCTCCTCCAGCTGACTTCTCTAGATAGTTAACCAGGGTTCTTTACAGGCTGTTCTCATGTCTCTTAGGTCTGTCACCAAGCCCTGAAGTTCCTGACCCAAATTCACAGCCAGCCCTTGATTGATTTGAAGCTGGTGAATGAAACCCTCTACGACCACGTGGACCTTATGAGCCATATCTACAAGAGTCGGGAGCAGCTGAAGCTCCTTGGAGACTATCTTGTTCTTTGTCGCAGTGGAGCCCTGAAGGAGATCAGCAAGAGGCAAGTCTTCACCTCATGAGATGCCACATTTCCTGTCATCTGCTAGGTCCCAAATCTACTGCAGCACTTTCTATATTGTTCATGTTCTTTACTGGGCAAGGATATGTCACTTAATACAGAGCATCTGTCCCTGAGGTTCTTGCCATTCACTCTTTTAATTTACAGAAATTTTTATTTTACCATACCTGCTGGCTGACAAAGAAGGGATGCGATTTGGGGCAGGACTTCTGTGCTGCCTCATGCTGAAGGAAGTGATGCTTGGATGCACATCATTTTTAGGTCTGTGCTTGAGGAGCAAAATCTGTTTCTTACCTTTGTGATCAAAGAAATAAGTAGAGGCTTATATATACTATGTTCCTATCAAAATGTTCATCTAAGGAAAAAGCAAAAAAATTAACCTTCATTCCATTGTTTCACAAAAGGTTTGTAACTGCACCAGCGGAGTTTTCCCTTGATTAACACTGAAGGCAAACTCCATTCCCACACCAGGGGTGGTGGGCAGGGGGAGAGAGAAGGAATTCTTGGTCAGCTCCCAGAGCAAAGGGCAGGCATCTTCCTTGCAACTGTTGGATGTTGCCTCCTGATGTCTTCCCCTCCTCTTGCCTAATCAGTTGGGACTCAGGGAAAGGACTCTCCTTCCCAGGCAATAATGGTGATGCTTCTCAGATTTTCCTCTGCCTTTCAGCTGAAGCATAGGCTGCCTCAGTGAAAAGGGGATCTATTGGGAATGAAGGGGGCAGTTTTTCTTGATGTGCATTTCAGGGTCTCTCTTCAGATGAGGACAGTGAGGCCTGGGAAATAAGGTCTGGAGACATAGAGATGGTGGAGGAGGAAGAGCTTATCTCAAGGCCGTCATCTCCAGGGGTTTGGGCAGACTGAAAACCAACAGGGTCTGGAAGTGCTGGGAAGGGATATGGGAGAGGAGCCAGAGAAGCATGATTCCATGACATCGTGTCGGGAGAGGAAGATGGCCAACTAGAGGGCCTGTGCACAGCTAGGAAGTGTGTCCATTTCCAGACAGGCACTCCCAGGGGGTGAAGTCCAGGATTACTCAAAAGGAGAGGTTCTGAAAAACAGCTTCTAGTTTGGGTTCAACAAACTTCTGTGCATGCTCAGAGATTCTTTCTTTGCTGGCTATAGCTTGCTGGATCTACATTGGAAATAAAGAGCTTTTGCCAAAGAACTGTCTGTTTGAAAGAGGGAAGGGGGAAGCTAGCTCCCATCAGCATCCCTTTTCACTGGTGATAATGTGATTTGCCTGTGCATTGGGAGAGAGGGGAGGGGGATCAATGTCGAATAGGACATCAGACTGAACAGGGCATGGAGTAATGAATGCATCCAACATGGCAATTTTTAATGACATACTTTTCAAGCAGCATGCTACTGTGTATAGGGGGTAGCTGATCTATACTCTTACCAGTGATCCTTGCTGTTTTCAAGCAGCAGCCACTTTGACTGTGGGCATCACCACTGACACCACCTAGGAACCTTTCTTGGACTGTGGAGGCCCTCTTCTTGTTCCCCAGTGGCCAAGCAGTGGCATGATATTTGGGTCTCAGCTTGAAGGGCTTTTCCAGCCTCTCCTCTCTGTCCTCCTTCCCTTCATGGTGTCCAAGGAAGGCTTCATTAGTCACCAGGCAGGCTTTTTCTCATCAACTGTTCTACACAATACTGCAGAATCTCTCTGTACAAGTCCATGTTGTTGTTTCCCTCACCCGCGCATTTCATTTTCCCTCCACCTTCAGTGCTCCACTGCAGCCTGCCAATTACATTGCTTTTTCTATCCTGGGCTCCTCCCTACCACAGCTAATTGGCTGATTTTTCCCTTGTAGTTCCTCTCTCCCCATTCATCCCCTTTACAGCAAATGAGCAGCAGATAGGAGATAGGAGCAGGAGATAGGAGACTCCCTACCCACAAGGCCATTAGCAAAGAGACATTGTTTTTAGCAGTAAAAAGGACGAATATAGCCTGTTCTGGAAGAATTAAAATCTGAGTCCATATAGTTGTATATAATGCATCTTCATGGTCACTAGAGGAAGCCCCCCACATCTAATTAAACCTAACATCTGCCCGCAGGTACTCCCAGAGATAGGGATATAAGGATTTTGTCAAATCCTTTCCATCTGTATTTCAGACACCTTCCATTCCATCATCTGCTCATTAATAAGATACAGTTATTGTTATGAGAAGTTCTTCCACATGTGAAATGCATGTTTATACATGCACAAGTCCCAGATCTGTGATTGTTGTGTTTCAGTATGTGGAAACAGAAGTGCTCTTTCACTGGAGGGTAATTTGGAGGATTTTCCCTGCAGAAATCAAGAGGATTCTTTCCTTGGGGGTGCTCTGTGATTTGGTTGTGGTTTTGAAGATGTCCTTTTGAAAAATCATATGGAATCAATGGGATCAATCTTAAGGAATATGTGCTACTGGCAGATCTCTTTTCAGTTTCCTGGATCTGACTTTGGGGTCTTCTCCAGGAGCTTCTTTGATTTTAAACAAGTAACTAGTTTCCATTCTGATAAATTAGAAAGATCTTGATTTTCTCCTGCATCACATGGTTGCCACAGCTGGGCACCAAATATATTAGTGGAATAATTAGCCCAGGTTGAACCTGGAATTATAGCATCCTAGGTGGACCTTGCCTCATTTAGACCTTGGGAGGCAATTCCCCAAAATGTATCCTCTTTATATTCTGATACTGCCAGACCTAGTTGCTGCCATTGGATTATCATTGGGTAGGATAGCTAATACCCTGGAAGACAGAAACAAATTTTAAAGCAATCTTGATAGACTGGGCTGCCATCTGAGAATAGATGGTTTAACTTGAAGTCCTGTACTGGCTGCGGGGTACTATATTATTCTGTGATTCTATGAGTGTGGTTCTCAGTGGCACCCAGGATGTGAAATTGCCCCTTGTCGTCCTCCCAGGTCCAAATTTGCCAAGCCCTGTCCTTTGAAATCAGTTATACATAAAGTGTAAAAGTGCTGTTGGAAAATAAAATACAGCGCTCACGTGTCAGTAACGGGACTTGCCTAACCCTGGCCCTAACCTGTTCCTGGCTGAGCACCATCTCTGCACAAGGTGCTGAACAGATTATGCAATTATTCATTTTTATTTCATTGCTATACCACCCAATAGGCAAGCTCTCTGGATGGCTTAAAAGAGCACATAATATGCAAATAACAATACAACAGCATAAAGTTAGCTACAAAATGTACAAGGCAAATATCAAAATGAATTTAAATAGTTGCAACAGCTAGCATTAGACCCTGAGCTGACATGACACCCCAATGGAGCTGATTAAATGCCTTGTCATAAAGGACTGTCCTAACTAGCACGAAAGGAAGAGCAGGGTTGGCACACAAGGCAGACCTCAGCGGGGGAGTTTGTTCCAAAAAGGCATGCCCCAGAGCTGGGCTGCTGTGTCCCAGCAGATTGTGACTGGGTGAAATGGATATAGGCCAGCAATGAGTAGCTGAAAAAATGATACAGGAGAATATACTGATGGCAGGGAAAGCAGATTAAATCAAGCTAGGAAATGGGACTCAGGTCAGATGTGTTGAGAGCACAGAGGTTTGGCAAATGGGGTGTGGGCACAAGCAGGAGGCTCGGAAATGAAGATATGAAAAGCAGCCAGAGGAGGCTAACAGTAGGCCAGCTTCTGCTGAATTGGAGTGTCACCTTCCTTAACTCCATGCCCCTGCAGAGCCTTTTATGAGTCTTCACTGCAGCACAGGGATTCCACAAATGAGGAGCAGGTACTCCAGATCCAAAAGGAAATGGGACTATGGAAGTGGGCAGGAGACAACAGGATGGCGTTCAATGTAGATAAGTGCAAGGTCTTGCACTTGGGGCATAGGAATGGGTGTCATAAGTACAGGTTAGGGGACAAGTGGCTGGAGAGCAGCACTTGTGAAAGTGGTCAAGAGGGTGCATGCCACCTTTGGTGGCATAGCCAGAAGTGTGGCTTCTAGATCGAGAGAGGTATTACTACCACTCTATACAACTCTGGTGCACCTACAACTGGAGTATTGTGTTCAGTTCTGGGCCCCTCATTACAGGAAGGATATAGCCAGGTTAGAGTCAGTGCAGTGTAGGGTCGCAAGGTTGGTGGCCGGTTTGCAGGGAAAGCCATATGAGGCAAGACTGGGGGAACTGGGACTTTTCAGCCTGGAGGAGACTCCAAGGGGATCTGTTGGCGACATACAGGTATGTGAGGGGTGGGTAGAGAGGTCACACAGAGGTGGGTAGAGACCGGTTCTCCCCTGCAGAGGAGGGCAGGACGCGCTCCAGTGGAGCAAAGCTCAAGGAACCAAGGTTCAATTTGGATGACAGGAAGTACTTCCTGACAGGACCCCAAGGGTATGGAATGGGCTTCCACGGGAGGTGGTTGAGGCCCCATCGGTGAGGGTGTTCAAGGATAGGTTAGACATGCAAATAGTAGGCATGTCATGAGCGGAGCCAGCTAGAGCTGGGGGTCAAACTAGATGGCCCGGGAGGCCCCTTCTGACTTGCTTGGTTTCTGTTATATATCATTTTTGTGTTCTGTACAACTCAGGTTCTCTGTGGAGAATGTGGCAAATACTCATAATTAACTTGTACTAATACTCCTCGTCCTTTCTTAAAGGCTCGATCACCGACACTACCTCCTGGAATGTCCCCATAAATACAGCGTGGCTGATCTGGGGCAGGTATGAGTTCTAGAAAAGGAAACTTCTCCAACTAGAGGCAGGCAGAGGTGTACCTTAAGAAAATGTCTCTCCCCAGCCCCAGAATTCCCCACAACCTCAACCCAGCAAAACCCTATGCACTTTAGAATGTAATGGGTGACACAGGTAGAGGGCAGGGGCCAAAACTGAAAACCATTTTGTGCATACTCAGAGGCAATTTTCCCTTTAATACTCTGCACTTTCCAGAGACCCTTGAAAACAGGCTTTGGCTGATTGAGCCCCAAATGGTGCTATGCCCTATAGATGGCTGATTCATCAAATCTTTCTCCCTCTGCTATGCATTGCTGGCTCTTCAGGCAGCAGTGTGTAAGGCCTTTCCAACCTGAGCCTCTCCAGATGTATCGGACTGCAACTCCACCATCCCTAAACAGCACTGACCATGTTAAGTGAGGATTATGAGAATTGCAGACCAATACATCTGGAAGGAACTTCTGGCATCATGGCCATGTTGGAAGCTTTATGCTACAAGGTACAATTTGAAAAAATGCATTTATGTTCATGGGGGGGGGGGGGTTCCTATGGATGACAAAAGCAAATGGGGCAGCAATACCTCTTTTTACCCCCACCTACCTACTGATGGCCCTCCTGCATTCATAGATCGCAGATGGCGTGTTTGACGCGTTCCTCCAGTCTCTGATTCAGTTTGCCTCCCAGCATGTCTACAATTGTGACCTTTGTACTCAGAGGGGTTTCATCTGCCAGATCTGTAACAACAATGACATCATCTTCCCCTTTGAATTTGGTACAACTACCAGGTGAGCATTATTCTACCACTGCCCCTCTTCAGCTTTACTTTCAAGTTTTCAAAGAAACAGGAAATCAGTTATGCAAGATGTGAGCCAATGGAGGGGGAGCAGGGGAAAACAAAGCCTCATGATACATATGCAGCATGTCTGGAAGCGTACTGTACAAATGAGGACTCTAATATTGCATGGCAAGGCATCTGTTAGGGAAGCTGGGGTGCACAAGGTATCTTGTCTTAGGGGACTTGGAATCCCATGGTGTCACTTCCATTTCCTTGACTGTAGGACAACTACCATTTTTGAAAAAAAAAGTCACAGGGAAGGAGAAGAAATAAATGCTTGGCCTTCTTCCTTCTTCAAAAACAATCAAAATGCTTAAAAGAATGTAGGCATCAGCTCCTTCTCAAAGAAGTCTTTGATTACCTTAATTTTCCTTTCTTGCTTCCTGACTTGTCTGATGAAGCGATAGTAATGAAACAGCATCACAGGGAAGCAGCTCATGAACATGGCTCACTGAATTCGCTGGCCTGCCTGCCTTGGCTGTGTACTGAGGCAGGAAGTGTACCTCCTTGCTGAGATGACACAGTTTCCCAGAGCCTGATTCAGGGTATTTGCCCTGCGTGACAGGATGTGTCTGGAGTGCTTCTGTTCTGGCGGCGGCAGGCAGCAGAGATTTCCTGAATCATTTGTCCTGTACAGGTGGGGGCTTGGAGTCATTTCCTCTTGTACACCTGGTCAGCCTCAGGAGTGCACAAAGCTACCAGTCTCTCTCAAGCAGAGCAGTGTATGTCTGAAAAACAGGAAAGTCCAAGCCACAGGTTTACTGCTTGGTAGAAACAGAGACACTGGTTTCACAATTCAAACTAAGCAGCTGCAAATGCTGAAATCTGAAAATCTGTTCTGAATGAAATGGGTTGCACTAATTACAATGTGATTTAAAATTGGGCTGGCTCAGCACAGTAGTTCTTAAAGTAATCAGAACATCATAAGGCAGCCTTCCCCCACCTGGTGCCCATTGACCATACTGGCTGAGGAAGATGGGTGTTGTAATGTCAAGACATCTAGAGATGCGGAGTTAGGAAAGGCTGCCAGACTGGAATGTCTGTTCTCCTCATGCTCCTCGCCACTAGTAATATGCTATGGGTTACTTCAGTGACTAACCTGCCTCTTTTTTCTTACAGGTGTAATGAGTGTAAAACTGTCTTCCATAGCAGCTGCCAAGTAAACACCAGTTTCTGCCCACGCTGCATCCGCCGGCAGAAGTACCAGCAGAAGCTGCAGGCGTCTTTTTGGAAATGACCTCAGGATGGACCACTCTTGAAGTGACAGGGACAGTCCAGTGACAGGGCAGTCCAGAGAGCAATTGGGGAAAGGGTACAAGAGGCTTGGGAGCAAAGAACAGTCTGCTGCCAGTCATGCATCTCCTTCCATCTAGGGTCTAGCCCAGTAGCGATCACAGGATTTCTCATGGGTTTTGGCAATACCAGCAAATGGAGAAGAGACCCACCAAGAACATACAGCAAGCTGACTTCCTTATTCTGATCTGCAGCTGCTGCCTCTTTTCCCCAGCCTTCATTCTCTTGCCTTTCTAAACAAACACATGCTAGTCTTGTGTGCAATGGGTATGGGAGGAAGAGAGATGGTGTGGGAGCAAACACTCCTAGGGAGACAAGCCCCAAGAGAACTCATCTTGATTCAAGCCGCAAAAGTAATGTTGCTTGGTTCTCAATGCACTTTGTAGCAAAGTTCTTGTGCCTTCTGCACTTGAAAGACTACCCCTGAAATGCCATGTGCCAAATTGCAGCTGAATCCTCTGGGAACACATTCAGTCCCCCCACCGCCTTGGTATCACCCTAAAGCAAAGTGACCTTCTAAATAATAAACCACTTCTCTGCTCCCTTTTTTTTAAAAAAAATTAAGCCAATGAATTCTAGATGTGAATTTTTATTTCTCTTTATCCTTCTATGCAGTTAATTAAAGATTATTTAATAAGGAGCTAACTCATGTGCCTTTCATTTTCTTGCAATAGTTTCCTTTGCCCTCTTGTGGACTGTGTCCACCCAAGAAAAAGGTAAGTGGCATATAGGCTTTATTCAGGAAGATGTATTACAAAACAATATTGGAACTTGAAACAAAGGTAAAGGATTGGAGCAGTGGGATCTACATGTAATAAGGATCAGATTCAGTTCCTACCCAGCCACGAAGCTCATTAGGTGATCCTCAACCAGTCTTTATCATTCAGTCTAACTTACTTCTCAGGGTTGCTGTGAGATTCATATATGAAGAGGAAGAACAATGTACACTGCCCTGAGCTGTGTGGAAGAGGACTAAATAATAGAGCACAGGATCAGCTCAAGGACTTTTGCACAATCTGCCTCCCCCCACTCTGATGTTTATGTGCAAATAATGCGGAAGTAGACGTGTAGCCTTCCATCTTTAACAAGGGGTCTGTTCATCAGCCATACTTCATGTTAACCCTTATGAATGGCAGGGAGGGAACTGAAGAATGTTAACGGTCTGCAAAATGGGTACAACTGTTTCTATTAATATACGATTGGGAAATGGTGTGGTGTGGAAACATCTACAACGTGGATGTGGGCAACAACTAAAGGCTGTGTGTATCCAGAAGGAAATGCCTACTGGTTGTTGTGGAGGCTTTATATGCCACATTGAAAAATGCAGTATGGGTTGAATCCCACAGTTGGAAGGAAACTATCACCATCCTGCCTCAGTTCAGTCTAAAAGTACAAGCTGCGGTTATGTGCCAAGTCACCTCTGACCTATGGCAACCTATGAATGAAAGACCTCCAAAATGTCCTATCCAAGACAGCCTTGTTCAGCTCTTGTAAATTCAAGTCTGTGCCTTTGTTTCAAATTTGGTCTTCCTTTTCTTCTTCTGCTTTGAACCAAAGGCTGAATGTCACAGCCCTTAAATGTGTAACTTTAGAAACTGGGATGAGACCAACTGTCTAGATTCTTTTCAACCTGGTTTTGGCACAAGAACTCTTTTTGTTACGCTGATGGTGGTCAGGATTGTCACCATGCTTATTCTCCTATCAACCATTATGCCGTCCTCTGCAAACTCTTTGGGCTAGGAGCACTGTGCTTACCCTGACTGGAATGACTGCTGCATCTGATTCTAGTGTCATCCTGGCCCAGGAAAGCAAAAGATCAGTTCTAGAAGATTCTGGTGCTGGGAAGGTACCGCTGAACCCAGCCTCAGTTAAGCTGTGACACCATTATGCTACAAGGTCCCAAAGGTTCCATCATATTCCCATGGCTTGCAACATCTACACGTAGCCACTGAGCGAGCTGATCCAATGTTCTGAAGTGTAGTGCCATCAGTATGTTTATCAGTATGTTGATGGCCACCAACTCTACTTCTCCTTCATACCAATTCAAGTGAAGTGGTAGGTAGACTAGATTGGTGCCTGGCATCAGTTACAGACAGCATGTGGCCCAATAAACAGGAACTCAGTCCTGATATGACTACAGGATAGTCTAGCTCAGGGGTCGGCAACCCGCAGCTCGGGAGCCGCATGTGGCTCTTGAATCCCTCTGCTGTGACTCCGTCCCTCAAAACATGCACTGGCACAGCCCCCGATCTGCGACCGAGGCTCCCTTACAAAATACCAATGTCCCGCTAGCTGGTTAAGTAAATCGCTACATTCCTCTGCTATTGTGCAGGGAAAGAGTGGAACAAGCTTCCTGCAGGCTCTCATGTTACACAAAATAGCTGAAAAGATTCTCTTTGTCCAGATGTAATCTCCTTCCTCTGAATGATAAAAGCTGCTTGGGACCTGTCACAATTCACATCACTTGATTGTTTATCTGCTAATCAGTTACTAAACACACTTATATCTGCAACTTGACTTCCCCCAGTAGGCCAATCATGGATAAATCGAAGAAAATTTTCTGAAGAAAACCAAACGTTTAATGGTACGTGGGCAGATTCATTGGCTTTTACTGCTGACGAACGTATGGGGTTTGCTGTTTAATACATGCAGCCCTTTAGCACTGACTTTGACTCTTCAGGAAGCTGCTCTCCTATTCAAAATATATGAAAAGAGTCCTACTAGTTTATAATGCAAGATTAGAAATAACAGTGTTTAGTGACCGAACAAGAGCTGCAGCTAAATCATAATGAAGATATACATAGCATTAAGGTAAAAAATGATATATGCAGTGTTATCTTCATTTTAGAGGTCAAAAGGGTTTTGCGGCTCCCAGTGTTTTCTTTTGTGTGGAAAATGGGTCCAAATGGCTCTTTGTTAAAGGTTGCCGACCCCTGGGCTAGCTGTTCAGGGAGGTATTTAACATGTTCCAGATGAGATTGCACTCCACCTGAAAGAACAGGTTCTCAGTCTGGGCATGCAGGTTGTCACTGGAAGCTCAGCTGAAAGCTCAGCTGAAAGCGCTTTGCATCAACTGAGACTGATGCACTTCCAGCAACCCCCTCCTGGACAATGCTATGGTGACCCATGCTCTGGTAACTTCCAGACTGTAATGCACTGTATATTAGGCTACTTTTGGAATGTGTTTGGGAAACTCAGTTCGTCAGGATACAGCTACTTGGCTGCTAAGACAGGGAGATAGGAACACATCTCGGTAGCGCTAAAATAACTGTACTGGCTCCAAGTAATACAGCTTAACAACTGAGTAGTTGACTTGGGGAAAGTCAAGTGTATAATGCTTGCCCAAATTATCTTTGGAGACCTCCAAGTGCCATCACTTAGGTAGGATTATGGTGAGTAATGGTTGGGGCTTTTCAATAGTGGCACCCTGCTCATGGAATAATTATGAAAATCTCCTCCGTTAGGCTCACCTGGCACTAACTTTATGTTGACTTAGTACTAAGTGACATTTTTAGTTCTCAAGATCCTTAATGCTAAGAGTGTTTCCAGATAGGGGGTTCTTTGCACTAAAAATCAACAGCTGTTGTGCAGCTGTTCTGTGTCTCCCCCCCCCCCGCAGTAACAGATTTTCTGTGATAAGAAAACAATGTTAAAAGTGTCATGAAAACCCAGAGTTACAAATATAAAACAATTCCTTGAATCAAAAATGGAGTCTTGTGTTAAACAGGGAGTTGGACCTGATAGCGTTATTAGCCCCTTCCAGCTCGATGATCTTGTGATTCTAAGGCAAAGTGATGACACAAGATAAGAATCTGTGTTAGAACATTTCAGTTGCTATTTTTTTACAATGCTGCTTATCTACTGTATATTTTTATTTGTTGCTTTTAGTTTTATTTTTGTAAGCCACCCTAGAAATTTTCTCTGGGTGCATGTGTGAATGTGTGCATTATACTGGTCAAACATACAACCAATAAATAAAGAGGCTGGAGGCAGGTTGCATAAAACCTTAAATCCAGATTTGGACAATATCTTTTTTAGAACCAATCAAATTCTGCAAAATGTTCAGCTGAACAAATGAAGCAGAGGCTGAAATCAAGCAGTTCAGTCCATCGGGAGCTAAAGTTCCTCCTCCATGAATTCAGACCTTTTCCTTGCAAAGCATTCTTTATTGAGCAAAAGCATAAAACACCCAGAATGAATTTCTGAGCATGCACAGAGCAGTTTGTTGTACTTCATCTAGTATTCACCTCCAGGAACTCTCCTTAGGGGCATGCCTGGGCTCCATCCCTTTGGGAGGGACCTTCTGAAAAGAAGCACACCTCCTCACTACACACCAGTCCTCTAATTGGGCTGCCCTTGTCTGCTGACAACACATCATGGGTTCTAGAGCTGAGGCCACCTCAACTGGGCCTGAGAAACTCCCCTACACCAAGTCCCCTCCCACCAACTGTACATCTTGGCTATACCCAGAGACTGCTTGCACACCTGGGGAATCTGGCCTTGAGATAAAGGTCCGCTTCTCTCATCTCCGTGTCTCAGGATGGCCCACATTCCCTACTCTCCCCCTTCTGATTCTTCTGAATCCCAGCCAGCAGCCAAAGCAGCTATCTTTCTGGCTCCCAACATAATCTATCTACAGCAACGTGTAAAGTATAAATAGAAATGTTTAAAAATGCGGCATTCTTCCCAAGAATGCAACACTGGTATGGCTCCTTGGTGCATGCACCGCTGAGCTGCTCTGAGCAAGACAGAAATAGACTGTCTTGGGAACTATCATGTATCCTTAGGTACGTGGCAGAACCAGCTGGCAGGAGGCTGACATTGAAGGACTAGTACGCTTGTCTTAGATTTGCCCTTGCACTGATGTGAATTGGTATCTGAGCACAACAACCATGCAAAAACCAGCTCTTGTTACAATTAATATGCTTTATATGGGTCAGCCCTGAAAAGTGTCTGGAATGCTGATGCAATGCATGGCAGCCACGTTGCTCTCTGGCATAAATCTTAAAGACTGCATAACAGGCTATTCTTCTTTGTGGTCTTTGTGCATCATACATATGGGCTCTGAGCACATGCGTGGAGCCTGTTTGAGAAGATTCCAAAGCTAATTAATTAGTGATCAGTGGGAGCTCCTCCCTTCAGCACACCTGGTGTGTGGGAGGACCTCTCTCCTGGTCCTCAGTTCTCCAACCTCCATCATGGGTGCATTGAGAAGTTCTTTCTCTGCTACTTGTAGCTCTTTGCTTACCTTTCCCCTTTTCCTGTGTGTGTCTTCCCTTTCTAATCAAAATCTTTCCCCCTTTTGGCTGTCTGACTCATCAAATCTTTCCCCATTTTGGTTGTCTGACTTTTTCAGCATTCCTCCTATTACGATTTTTTTAAAAAATCCTGTCCTCACACTTTCCACTATACCGTTTTCCTGCCTTCTTCTCATCACCCTTCCTCTCACATTCTCTCCTAGTCTGCTTTGTCTTGCTTTCCTCTTCCCTTCGGTGGTGCTCAAAGCACCATTCAGAAATTGTGCCAGCAGCAGCAGCAAACTGGCCCCAACTGGTGGGCACCTGCTGTGCCTCTTCTGCCTGTGGGGAGAGCCATGTAACATAGAAACACAGAAACAGATTGAGTCAGAAGGGGTCTCCGGGGCCATCTAGTCTTACCCGCGGCTCCAGCCAGCTCCGCTCACAACATGCCCACCATGTGGATGTCCAGCCTATCTTTGAACACCCTCACCGATGGGGCCTCAACGACCTCCCATGGAAGCCCATTCCACACCCTCGGGGTCCTGACTGTCAGGAAGTGCTTCCTGGCATCTAAATGGAACCTTAGTTCCCTGAGCTTTGCTTCATTGGAGCGCATCCTGCCTTCCTCTGCAGGGGAGAACAGATCTCTACCCATCTCCGTGCGACATCCCATCACATACCTGTATGTCGCCAACATATCAACATATGTGCTGGAGGCCTGCCAGACTTTCATTAAACAGATGAGGAAGCACAGGACCAACCACCTGAAAGTGAAGCTCTGGAGCAGAGCTCCCCACAGGAATAGTTCCTCTCAATCAGAAAAACAACTCTCTAATTTGGAAGCCACAACGCCCACCATGCCCGCACCCACAGCAGAGCTTTCCGCAGCTGTCCAGCAGAAGGAGCAATCTGCCAAGGCCACCAAAGCCACGCAATGGGCAAAAGAGGCAAAGACCTCCAATATGGCTGATCCAAGCAAAGAAGATAGGGGCAAGCATGCAAAAAAAGCATGCTAAGCTGCGACTGTCCACGTGTCTGAGAGACACGTGGTGTCAGAGCCCAAGGCTGATCGCCACTCTTCCTCAGTACCAAGACCAGCACAGGAGACTTGTCTTTGACATGCCTGGCAACCATGAGCACATCTGGACACAGAGGGGCAGCGATGTTATTCCATCTGTTGCACTGGCCGTCAATATGGCTAACTACCAAGCAACCATGGCCAGGTACCACCTGATGCTGCGGGACAGGCTCACATCACTATGTGAATCTCTCCCCAGAGAAGCCCAAGATCTCGCCAACAAGGCTGCCCATCTTGCCTGACAGGAGAGTCACACAGCCAGGCATCAGGCGGAGTGCAGCACAAGAAACATGACCGGAGTGATCGGCCGCTGACACTACACCTGGCTTCGATCCTCCAGACTGCCTACTGGCCAGATTCAAGGACATGCCCTTTGATGGCGTGGGCAGGAAAAACCAGATGGATTCGGTGCAGAGGGCCAGGGCTACTGCCCAGAGAATGGGGCTAAATCAAGTGCTGCAGCCCAGTGGCATCATCCCCGCCACAAATGCCAATCTGGACCCCAAGCCCCACCAGTCCCAAGGCACAGACCAGCCCCTTAATGCTGACAAGGTGATGCTGAGCCATGCTCCCACCAGAGCCACCAGCGCCTGGATGAATCCACGAGGCACCTGTGACCCCATACCCTGCCTGAAGACTCCCACCCACCCTCCTTCAGTCACCAGCTCCAGCCCTTCTTTCACACATGGGCTGAGATCACCTCGGACTCATGGGTTTTATTCTCACATAGACCTGTTTGTGATGAGAGACAATGTGGCACGTTTCTGCTCCAGAGCAGGAACTGAACCAGGCTTCAGGGGAGACACCTTCTTGCTAACATGGAATAGGACTCTGTTTTATCTCTTCCCTCCACTCCTGCTCACAAAGGTCCTGGTAAAGATTCATTGGGGATGAACAAACTGCATCGTTATCATGCTCTGGTGGTCCAGACAGCCCTGGTTCCCCCACCTCCTACACCTTTCCAAGCAGACCTTTCTCCACCTCCCCCTCTAACTTGATATCATCTCACATCATCCGGGGGGAATATTCTCCATCTGGATATACACACACTCCACACCATAGCTTGGAAGATCCAGCCAACCTAGATGGTGGGGACGACATACCAGAAGACCTCCACATGGTGCTCAAGGCTTCCCTGAAACCAACCACTAAGGACTCGTTCATACGGCACAAAGTGGGTGGCTTTCACCTCCTTCACTGCATAGCATAGCTTCAAACCTTAACTCCTCCATGCAGCAGCTCCTGTTCTAGAACGCCCTGTGCTGTCAGGGTCTCAAGTCAGCTTCCATCCAGCCCTACATAGCAGCCATCTCCACCTTCCACACCCTGATACTGGGCTACCCCATCTTTTCCCACCCCCTTGTCCAGCGATTTAAGTGCCTCAATAACCTTGCCCTACCAACTCGACCACCTATGCCTGCTTGGAGCCTTTCCATTGTCCGTCAATCCCTCACAAAGAGACCTTTTGAGCCAATGGCTACCACAGACCTGTACCTACTGTCATGGAAGACCACCTTCTTTGTAGCCATCACTTCATCCCACCATGCAAGTGACCTGGCCACTATCCAATCCGACCCCCCCATACCTTACTTTTCACAAATACAAGGTGGTGCTCTTACCAAAGGTAGTTTCCTCCTTCCATCTCAACGGGGTATAGTCCTACCAGCCTTCTTTGCGACACTGTCATGGCTAATTGAGTCAACGTTTAACTTCCTCCATGTCCAGAGGGCCCTGGCCTTCTACAAGTCTAGAAAAGAATTCATCCAACAATGACAAGAACTCTTCATCACCTACACAGGTGCAAACAAAGGGTCCCCCATCTCTTCACAGGGGCTAGCAAAATGGGTCATTAACACAAACCTCTTAGTCTACAATCTCTATGGACTCTAGCCCAATTTGTACCCACTCCACAAGGGAAACAGCACCTCTACTGCCCTTTACTTCAGAATGCCCCTGTCTGACCTCAACAGGGCTGCAATATGGTCAGGCCCATGGATCTTCGTATGCCACTACCACCTAGACATCCAGGCCAGAACAGACTGTACCTTTGGCAGGGCAGTCTTATCCTTTATCCTCCATTAGTGACGCCACCTGCCTCCAAGGGGAAGCTTGCCAGCCACCCATGTGTGTGATGCACAGAGACCACGAAGAAAAAAGGCGGGTTGCTTACCTGCAACTGTCTTTCTTTAGGTAGTCATCTGAGCATTCACATGAACCATCCCCTCTTGGTGTCATCTTATAATGACCTGAGATCCTGGGAACTGCCCCCTTCAGGCAGAGACACAAGTTCTCATCACTTTAGAACAGGAGTCCTCTGCACACTGAGGCATGTCCAGGGAAGGGGCTCCCACTAATTAATTAGCTTTGGAATCTTTCTGAATGGGCTCTAAAGAGCCCATATTTGTGAATACCCAGAGACCACTCGAAGAACAGCATTACAGGTAACCAGCCTGCCTTTCAGGCTTCTGCTTTGTTTTTGAGCGCAAATCAAGGTGCTGGTTCTTACCTGTAAAGCAGGAGTGCAGAACCCTCAGCCCATAGGGCAGGTTTGGCCCCACCACACTGACCTATCTGGCTCATGAAGCCTCAGGTGGGGCCCATGTGCACGGCCTCAGTCCTCAAAGGTCATATGGAGGGGGAACACGAGTGAGCATTCAGCTGACTCTTCCAGGAAGCAGCCTCAGCCAGTTCCTGGAAGTGCCAGCCTAGTCCAACCTAGTGTAGGAAAGGCACAGGAGGATGGAAGCCAGCTGGACTGTGGCTGGGACTTGGATGCTCCCTGCACTGCTAGCTGAGTGAACTTTGCTCATGAATTAGAGAAGCTGGAAAAAATTCACCCATCATTTTGGCTGGGGGGCCATCAATGTCAAGAGTTGTTGAGAAAAGAAGGAAGTTATACTTGGCATGCTTCCCAGGGCCAGGGTGGCATTGACTCGTCTGATGAGGGCTGGGAAACCAGGAGTGTGGATACAGAGATGGCAGAGGATGGTTAGGTTATCTCAAGGCTGCCGTCCCTGAGTGTTCAGGCAGATCTTGGGAACAGACAGGGTTTGCAAGTATGGGGCGGGAGAGGAGCCTGGCTGGGTGCCTGACCCATGCCATGGCACTGGGAGAGAAAAACTAGCCAGTTAGATCTAGGAGGGTAGCCCTTCTCTAGAGAGGCACACCCAGACAGGTAGAGCCCATGGTTACTGAAAAGGAGTGCTCCCAGAAAGTTTCTAGTTTGAGTTGAACAAATCCCTCAGTTCATGCAGAGTCACTCATTCTCTGGTGGTTATGGCTGTATATTAACAGGGACCGACATACATGCACATATACCGCCGGTCCTGTACCATCTACACAGGCTTCCAATTGTAGTCCAGACCCAATTTAAGGTGCGAGTGATGACTTAAAAAGCCCTAAATGGCCTAGGACCTGAAAGTTTGAAAGAGCGCCTCCTTCCGTATGTACCTGCCCTCCCTGTAAGGTTTGGGAGCCTCCTTGAAGGAGATCAGAAGAGTGGCTACCCAGAGAAGGACCTTCTCTGTGGTGGTGCCCTGGTTATGGAATACGCTCCCCTGAGAGGTTTGCCTGGCACTGATATTTTATTCCTTTTGGCGCCAGGCTAAAACCCTTTTATTTTCCCATTATTTTAAATGTTAATAGTGTTTTAAGATAGGATTTTATTCATTGCAATTTTTGATGCTGTGTCTTATTTATTGTATCACTGCCCTGAGACATTGTGAAGGGTGGGATATAAAAGCTGTAAATAAGTAAATGAATTGGAAATAATGGGTTCTTAAACAAAAAGACAGTTTGCTGTTTGAAGGGAAATGAGGGAGGGGGGAGACCCAGCTCCCAACAGTGGTTGTGCTTATAATATGGATGGCCCTGTTGCTATTGCGTCCAGGGACCAATAGAGACCAAAAGAACAAATATGTTTCCTTACACCCTCCAGAAAGCTCTAAACAGCTTTTGACCTGGTCATTGGAAAGACAGCTTCCTTCAGTATAAGCCTGTGTAGTTTCAAGCCCTTTTCAGTGTATCGCCTCCTAGACAAGAGAGGCCAGTAGGTCCTTTTGTGTAGCAGCACCCGTTGTGCAACTCTTTCTCCAGGCTACCTTGGTCTGCCTTGTCCCTGAGGTGGCTGGTGAAGACAACTTTGATCCGCCTTCAGCAGTTAATAGCATTCTCTGATTTTACCCCTTTTCACTGCAGTGCATATTTTCCCAGATTGCCTTATTTAGCGGTTTGTAGATTCTGTATTTCACTGAGCTCATCTTTGTTTATTTGTGCATGGCCTCAAGCACCCAGTGGGTGGCGTGGCAAACACAAACCAGCAAAGAAGCATAAAGTGACCTTGCTCCCGATCTCTGCTACCCAAAGGGGGCTGCTTCCTACTCCTTCATTTAAATATTAGCCCTGCATATGCTTTTGCAGATGTATCTGGCAGCCAGTTGCCTTCTCATACATCTTTCTAAAGCCAACCAACCAACCATCCCTCCTTCCTTCCTTCCTTCCATCGGGACAGGCAGCATTAGGCAGTGTAAACGCGATCCCTTCCGTTAAATAAACCCAAGCGGAGGAGAGTGGGATACAGAAGGTGAAATACTGAGACTGGCGGCAGTCATGCACTCACTAGATGTGTGAGTCATTCCCCACTGAACGGTGCCCTTCCCCCCCCCCCCCCAGCCTTGGGGAGACTTCCTCTGAGTGAGGAGCTTCCTTCCTCCATCCAACCCAGGCTCATGGGAACACCCAAGCCACTCTGCCTGCCTCACTTGTGCATGTTCAAGTGCTGCACGCACTGAGGAGAGCTGGGCAACGCGGAGGCCCAGCTGAGGCGTGAGAAGCGGGTCCCTGGTGTGGGGTGCCAGCGAGAGGCGCCTGCCTGCGGTGAATGCAGACACCTGCGTTCTGCGGGATGTGACCTGGGTGGAACAGGCAGCCACAAGCCGGCAGGGTGTGGCGAGCAGTGTGTATCCCTCCCCACCCCCCCGCCACCACCTCTCAGCAGTATCTCTCGGATTTTGTTTTTTCAAGCTGCCCTTGCTGGACGTGCGTCTGGAATCTGATGTGAGCGGGCTCCTTTTGATCCTGCGTATCAGGGACTCCTATGGCAGAACTGGGGCTCTCTGCCAGGGTGAAGATATTTGGGAAGAGTTTCCTGCTCACGGCTTTTTCCTGTTGCTCTTTTCTTTACTTGTAAATCCCCTGCATGTGAGGAAGCCAACGGAAATATTGGGTTTGTGCTATTTCACCCCACCCACCCCTGTTCTTGACAGAGCTGAAAGCAGGGGAGGACTGGAGGCAGGTTCAGCCCAAGCACACAGGCCCAGACAGGTTGATGCAGCTCCTGACACAATCAACAAGGAAGACGTGCTCGAAGACGCAGGACTGAGAGACAAGAAAACAGGCTGCAGGCACGGGAGAATGCTAACAAGATGTGAGCCAGCAGGTAAAAAATAGGTGGGAGCTGGTGGGTGCTGGTCCAGGGAGTCACACTGCGTCTGTGATGGGGCAACATGGAAACCTGTTCACAGTAAAAGCATTTCCCAAGTGTTGTTCCAGCGGGTGTTAGCTATTTTCTTGACAGGGCCACTAAATTATCAATTGCAGTGGGGCTTGTGTTGGTGCTTGTTGGAGGTTAGAGAGGTGAAATCATGCCAGCAGCCACTGTTCATAATTAAAGACACAGAACTGAATTAATTGGATTGCTATTGATCTTCGCTGTCACAGAAGCCAGTGAAAATGCCTCCCAACTCATTCTGTTGACCAACTATGGGTGGGTAGGGATGTTAGTCTTAATCCTATATATCTACTTGCTCTGGGAACCCTGGCCAGTATAATTGCTTAGGTGTGGGAGCTGGCTGTTACCTGTTACAAAACAGGGAAGTGGAATCACCGTTCACATTGCAGTAGCCACCGGCTTGTGTACTTATCCCGGGAGACTTTGGATGCTTCCAGATGAACCTTTTGCAAGGGAGCTCAGATTATATTACTTTCTACTTGTGACCCTCCTGCATTTTCTTACGGCTTCTTGCATCTTTTTTCCTTGATGCAGAAAATCCATTATTGAGAACAGCTGTATAGTACTTTCTAGTGCTCGCCTGGAAATGCTGTTGTTGAACTTCCGTTTCCTACAGCTGCACAATGGGACTAACGGTGTCCTTGCTGCACAATGAAAACATGATAAACTGCAAACCATCCCTTTATTTTATTTTGGAAGCACTACATAAAATTAAGGCATTTTCTTGAATCAGAGCAAAGTCCATCTAACTCAGCACAGTATCAGTGGTCAAGCAGATCTGAGCATCTTGGAAAAACAAAGGCCTTCCCTCTCTTTTTTCCCCCAGAATCTGGAAAAGGCAACTTCCTTTGAAAAATGTTAGCTCTTTCCCAGTCCTCATGGCTAGTAGCCACTGACAGATCTCCCCTTCATTAATTTGACTACTAAGTCATAAAACTACATCTAAGTTTATGGCAACCACAATACCTGGTGGCAATTAATCTAAAGCCTATCATGATGGGGAAACATGTTACAGAGCACCATTTCAGTGTACTCAGACATGAGGCTCCCTGCTATTTGACCTGCCCCTTTACCATGTCCCTTGGCTTACTTGCTTGAGGTGTGTAATCAATTGCTCAGCAGAGCACCTGGTCTCTGCTTGGGGCACACTCAGGCCTGGATTGTGTGTGGGAAGCTGGATGGACCTGCCTGCTAGACCGGGGCAGTCAAACAAGGTGACCTGTGGGACTGTCTCTGGGGCTGGGGTTTATACCAGCAGGCAGTTCCAGAATGTATTTGCAGGATTAGGAACCAGTCAAGGAGTCCTATTAATGCCATGGGCACTGCAGTGCTGGGTGCTGGACCCTGACAACCACAGGATTTTTCGGAGACCAGGCAACAAGGTTGGAAATGTGCTCTGATTTCACAGCACTGTCTCAGAGTGCCCTTCCTACCCCTTCACAGGCTATATCAGATGAAGTTTAGGGGGCAGGCTGGGGAGGAGACAGTAACCACCATGAAAGGAAACACCATGGTGATATCTCAGCCGCCGAAGTATCCACCATCTTGGTGTTTTGCGGGGCCCTGTGCAGGTTTGCTCATAATGCTCCAAGTTTGGAGGAACATTAGAATAATAGATCAAATAGAGAAAGTACAGGGAATGCCTCAGCACATGTGCAGAGGCACATGTTCTCCTGGTCACTGTATAATCAGACCAAGCCCTTCAAATGCATCGGTGAATCCTTAGGTGAGATTATCTGAGTATCAGAGGCTACCATCTACATGGAAATCATGATGGTGCCATCAACAATGCAACCTATCTTTGCCACATTTTGTTTATTCAATTTCTGTCTCACCTTCCTACTAAAAGTAGTGCTTGCAATTAAAACATAAAAACAAAACATCAATTAAAAGATATAAACAGCATCTATGAGCTAAAAGGTCCTTTAGTGAAGGAGTTGGCTTCGGCATTCTCTGAATGCAAATGTATTTGCCTGCTGGCAGAGAGACCGCAAAAGTGGTGGTAACCTGACCTTCCCTGAGAGGAAAGTCCAGTGCCTGGGAGCAGTCAGCAGAAAGACTGCCTGAATATGCCTCTGGTGATGGAAGGACCAGAGAGGAGGACCCAGGGAAGTGTGGTCTTTCAAATGACCCGACTCTGTGTTGTACAGGGCTTCACAGGTCAGAACCAGCACTCTGAAGTGTGTCTGGAACAGAGAGCGGTAGCTAGTGAAGCTGCTGCATGCTAAGCCTCCCTGTAACCTGCTCAGGTCAACAAACCAGATACAGCATCAGCTGCAATTTCCAAACCCTTTTCAAAGGTAAGCCCAAGTTGAGAGCATTACAGTAGACCCAATGGGATGTAGCTCAGGAAAGTGTCGGCATGGCTAGACATGACATCTGAGCTTGGGCACAGATAACATACTAAGCTTCGGTATGAAAACACACCTCTGACCACCACTGAAGCCTGGGCATCTTTGTCTAGAAGGAAACCTGAGATGGCAGCGAAGAGTGGGGAGCTTCTGTGTCAGCCCTCCATTCCACCTGGCTGCTGTGGGGCAGGGCCTTCCAGCGTGGAGCCTTTTTCTCCAGCTGGCTCACAGGGTGGCGACTTGGGTGATGCCGAAGGCGATGCAAAAGGGCACTGCCCATTTAGCACCTGTTTGGCACCTGGGTGGCAGGAGGTTCTGCACATTTTTTAGGGTTAGAGGTTGGTCTGTGGCATGGATTTGGGGGTGGGGGGAGAGCATGGGGGCAGCCATTATGGTAGTACAGTGGCACTTTGGCTCACGAATGTAATCCGTTCCAGGACTCTGGTCATGACCCAAATTGGTTGTGAGCCAAGTTAAATTTCCCCATAAGGTTCAATGTAAATAGGTTAATACGTTCTGTAACTATTTTTTTTTTAATCAGAAAAATGTGAAGTGAAGTGACAAAGAACAGCAAAGATTACAGTCATCTCCCCCTCCCCACCCCGAGCACAAGCGCGGCCATCTCCCCTCCCCCCACAGCATGACCAAGATCGTGCCTGTCATCCCTACACGCGCCCGTCATCCCAGCGTGCTGGGGCGGGCAGGGGGAGACAGGCGTGATCTTGGCCATTCCCCACCCCACCCCCAGCACGATTGCAGCCATCTCCCCACTCAGGGGGGTGGGGAGATGGCCGCAATCATGCTGGTTGGGGGTGGGGGAGATGGCTGAGATCGTGCCCATCTTTCCTGCAAGAGCGCGCCCATAATCATGCATGTCTTCCCTGCACAAACGCAACTGCGATCGTGGCCATCTCCCCACTCGGGGTGGGGAGATGGCTGTGATCTTGACCACTACCCAATGCGGAGTTCGTGACCCACGTCAAAATTTTCATGAAATTTTTGTTCACAACCTGATTTGGTCGTGAACCAAGGCGTTCATGAGCCAAGGCACCACTGTACTGGGTAGGGGATGTCACGGTGATGGGGGCAGAACTTGCCAGAGTAGGAGAAGAGTGGACAGATGCTTAGTACCTGTCCCCTCTTCTAGCTCTCCCTCCAGCCTGCGGATGCCAGGTAGCCGTATCCACCTTCCCTCTGGCCTGTTGATGCTGCTGCTTAATGCCAGGTCGGTCTGTAATAAAGCTTCCCTCATTCACAACCCCCGTTACTCAGTGCAGCACCAACATCGTCTGGAGGGACGAGCAGTGGGGCTGGTGACAGTCTTTAAAAATACGATCTCACTTACCAGGCTCCCTGTCCCAACAGTATTGGGTCTGGAGTGTTTGTATTGTGTGTTGGGCTCTCGAGACAGATTAGGGATTCTGTTAATATTGACCACCCTGCTGCACTTTAGCAGTCTCCCTGTCTCAGCTGAGGGAGGTGGTCTCAGACCTGGTTGTGAGAATGTTGGTCCTGGGGGATTTCAGCTTCCATGCCAACGCTGCTTTCTCCAGGGCAGCTGAGGACATCATGGCCACCATGACAACCATGGGGCTGTCTCAGCACGTCATGGGCCTGATGCACAAGAAAGGTCACACTCTGGACCTGGCCTTTTCTATGGGACAGGGGGATGGGGATTCTGATGTGGAGGGACTAACATCTATCCCTTTATCATGGTGGGACCACCAACTGGTTGAGTTTAGGCAGTCGCCTCCTTTCCCCCTTTGCAAGGGTGGGGGATCGATTAGAATGATCCACCCTCAGAGTCTGATGGATCCTGATGGCTTCCAAAGGGCTTTGGGGGAACATCCGGCTGATGCGGCTGGTGCTCCTGTTGATGCCCAAGTTGGCTTATGGAATAGGGAAATAGCTTGGGCTATTGACTTGATCGTGCCAAAGCGCCCTCTTCCTACCCAACAAGCCCATTCAGCACAGTGTTATAATGATATGCTGAGGGCAATGAAGCAGGTAGGGAGACGGCTAGAATGAAGGTAGAGGAAGTCCCATGACGAGTTCAATCGAACACATTTAAGAGCTCATTATCGAGCTTACTTAGTGGCAATAAGGCAGGCAAAGCATGGATACTTTGCTGCCGTTATTGCTTTCTCACAGTGCTGTCCAGCTGAGCTTTTTCGAGTGGTCCGGAGTCTCCTACAATCTGGTTCTCCAGATGAAACCCTGGAGCCCTTGACAGGTCTGTGTGACGAATTTGCTTCGCACTTTGCGGGGAAAATCCCTGCCCTGTTAAAGGTCCCTGCCCTGTTAAAGGGAGGCAGTAGTGAGACCACTGCTTAAAAGGCCAAGCTTGGATCCAGTGGTACCAGATAACTACCAGCCCATTATTAATCTCCCCTTTTTGGGCAAGGATTGGAGCAGGTGGTAGCTGGACAGTTGCAGGCACTCTTGGAGGATACAGATTGTCTGGATCCATTTCAGTCAGGGTTTAGGCCTGGGTTTGGAATGGAGACAACCTTGGTCGCCCTGTATGATGACCTGTGCAGGGAGAGGGACAGGGGGAGTGCAACCCAGTTGGTTTTC